CCCAGGGTCACACAGCTAGTAAGTGTTATGTGTCTGAGGCTGGATTTGAACTCAGGTCCTCCTGACTCCAAGGCCAGAGCTTTATCCACTGTGCCACCTTGGATGTGAGGTTTTTAAAAAGGGAAGGGTCAGCTTAATATTTGCAAAGGTTTGTGTGCTAACCTCATCTTTTACTTTCTTGGCAGTCTCATGAACGAGTTAGTAAGCGGCTGCACCAGCGGTTCCAGGCTTGGGTGGACAAATGGACCAAGGAACATGTAACCCGTGAAATGGCAGCTGAGACCAACAAGTGGCTGATGGGTGAGGGGCTAGAGGGCTTGGTGCCCTGCACTACCACCTGTGACACAGAGACCCTGCATTTTGTGAGCATTAACAAGTACCGCGTCAAATACGGCGCAATATTCAAGACACCATAACTCCCTAGGATGGACGTGTGGCGTGTGTGTCCCCGCGCATCAAGGGTTCAAGCACGATGCCTTTCAGACCTCACTGTGTCTCTGCAACATGGCCACCTGACTAGTGTGCAGCTGGTACAGCGTTTCCCCGGCGGGCTGAAGTTTGGCAACATGGATCCTTTTTAAACCTAAGTTGAGACTTCTATTTCCCAGGGGTCTGGGACTCCAGGGTGTTCCCTAGAAAGGGAGGGAGGGTCCCTGCTAAGGATGATGCAGGCATGGAAAAATGGTTTTGTTCACCCACCCCAGCGGTACTGAGCCCTCATTCCCCATGGCCTGGGCATTGAATGAGCAAACTGGACACTGTATGTGCGCGACTGGATGGGGTGCATTTGAGGAGATTGATAGGAAAGGACTTTTAGGTTCAGAGACATTCTAAACCATGAAGGCTCCCCCCTCCCCCCCCCAAAACCCAGATGTCGTTTTCTTTTGGTCATCCACGTCCATCCAGATCACCCGCAGGGTAACTGGACCCTGTAGTTTGGCTTTGGGAGCATCTTGTGGATTTGTTTCTTGATCGCCCTGCCTCTCATGCCTTCCTCTCTTGTCTTCTGGTCCCCAAGCTCCTGACTCACCAAGGTCAAATCAGTTGGTCCTTTTTAGCTCCAGTGGAACTGTTTTGTACCTGCTTGTTTACTAGTCTAGCCTAGTGCCATCCACCAGCTTTTCTCACACACACTCTTGCACACAGAGGAAGTTTTAACATGATTTCCCCCCCTCTTTTTTTTGTAAATGATGTACATACTGTCAATTTTTTTTTATTAAAGGAAATATGCTTTGATGTGCTAGCATAACTGTTCTAGCTTCTTGTGTACCACAGTACCGGGTGGCTTCAGATTTAGTCTTTACGAACAGATGTACAAGGCATTTAATACACTTTTTACCAAAGGGAGTTACCATTGTAGTGCTTTTGTGTGAAACTTTTCTCCCCTTCCCCCCTCTCCTTTTTGTAATAAATAAAGCTTGCTTCTTAATTTGAGAAAAACATTCTCAACCCCTGGTCCTGTTAGAAAGATACTGTTTAACACAGTTTTGTCAAATGCTACCAGTTCATTGGCTTAAATCCCAAAGAGGGAAATGTAATTTTTGTTTCAAATGGTCCAAACTAGGACATACAACAAAGCAGCTCAAGCAGCCTATTTCCAATGTAAAATTTCTCTCTTTTTAAAATTTAGAATGAAACTTGATTCTTTTGGTTAACTCTTGCCTCTGCTTTGTCTTCCAGTTTAAAAAAACAAAACAAAATGCCACTTGGGGGAAGCTGTCAAGCTGTGCCATTTGGTTGTGTTCATTTATTTTTTCCTTCTCAGTACTGGGGAGTGGGGAGAGAGGGTGAACATCTTAAGTACCAAACTAGTATTTCAAAGAACTTTCTTGAGTATGCGTGTTTGTGCCCACGAGTATTTTTTGTGTTGTGTGTGTGTGTGTGTGTGTGTGTGTGTGTGTGTGTGTGTAGGTAAGGAGTGCTTGTATATAAATGGGGCCAGGGAGTTAGAGAAATTTTGTGATAAAATTCGTTAGCCAAAATCACTAACGGGGATATATATTTTTGTAATTATAGAAGTTTAAACCTGTAATAATGGCAGGTGAGTGATTGGGATTTTTGAAGTGATCAGCCTGGACTTCTGAGCCAAGTTCCACACAAACACTCTAGCACCTGGCTAGGGTGCTTTAGTATTTGTGTGACTCACCATCCTGGCCCTGGAGCTTAACAATCCTCCAAGAAGTAAACTGCTGGTGGGCAGTTCAGAATAGGAGACAGGCCTCTCTGTGCACATGAGACTTTTCTGTTTTTATTTTATTTAAAACATCTTTTGTCTTAAAAATGTGGACAAGGGGTGCAGGTGGAAAGAAGATGAAGCGGATCCACAGTGTGGAAGAAACAGCCCTTCCCTAAATGCCTCGTCTGGTGGAAAGGTTTGAGAAACAGACCTGGATTCTGTTGGGGGTGGACTGGAGAGCCTCCTGCAGAGAGAACAGAAGGGTGGTCCAGGGAGGGGGAAGGTGGTGGTGCAGATGATCATCAGAAATGGCTTGGAATAAGGCCCTACATCTACTCAGGAAGGCTGCTTTGGGGATGTGGTATCCCCCACACCTCTGATTTTTTTTATAAGAACATTTTATTTTTAAATATGTAGATAAACATAAGGAGGCCTTGTGCAAGCAGGGGTGGGTAATACACTTAACTTTTTCATTCCTCCTGATGTCTGACATTGGAGCTCCAAGCTCTGTTCCCAGCCTGTAAGATAGCAAAATTTTCTTTTTATTTTAAATCGCTTTTTGTATACTGTAATGTGACTTTGGCCACCTTTCCGTGTGATTTCTATAAAAAAAATGTTGTAAACTTGACTGTAGTGCAGTATTTCCATTAAAATATCAGGGCTAAGTGTGGTGTATATATATATTTTTTTCTTCTGGTTTCCCAGTAGGGAGAAAAAACTACCTTCATTTCAGTTCAAGTGAAGATGAAGTTGGAGGTTTGTATGGAAAAGCTTGCCCTTGATTGGCCATTTCCATTCCTAGACATCCTTATTAATTCTTCTGGTTAGGGAAACATAATTGTTTATGTAATATGTATCTAATGTCATATTTGGAATTCCTTAGAATTTCAAACTCTTGTTTTCTGGTCTTGGTTAGGAGCTGGACACACACCTCCCCACCCACCCGGAAAAAATACACTTCATAGAAATCAGAAGAATGAATCCAGTTTGTTGCAGAGAAATGCATCCTCCCGCTCCCCATTCACACATGGAGGGGGTGAGGACCAAGAGATCAGCTTTGTTTAAAATACCTTTGTTTCAGCAAATCAAGGAAGAGGTTACTTTTTCTAGTGAAAAACCTGCATTACTTAAAAACATATGATTTTCATGAGTATGGCTACTTCTGTTGAAGCAAAGGGGTCTTCTTGAGTTTTGATGTTTAAAAAAATGACCACCTAGTGGCCAGCTTTCATGAACTGATGCCACTTGGTCTGTCAGCAGCCTGGACCATGCTCACAGTCCATTTTGGAAGGACTTGTCAGAGGTTGCACTCGTTTAGCCACAAAAAAAACCAGATCAGTTCCATGCCTTGGTTGGGGGTGTTAACGAAACACTTTTCTAAAATGAAGAAAAGATTTGTTGGACAAAGAATGAAAATTGGATATACCAGGTATAGTATGTTGCTTGAAATAATGTGGGAAATGATGAGGTGTGCTGCAAACTTAGGTGGAATATTATTCAAGCCTATCTACAGACCATATGTTTAGCATTACTTCATCTGTTTTGCGCTGTGTTTATTTCATAACACCATCCATACATAGATAATACACTATAACAGACAAGATGTCGTTTCTGAGCTATCAGGTACCAGACACTTGTTACAGGTACTGTTGTGCATTTAACCTTGGTGGAGAGGTGTTCTCATCTTCAAGTGTATCCACAAGCCTGTCATTGCCATCAGTACCTAGCATAGGAACTTAGATTTGAGATTTAGAATTAAAAGTGTGGGGAGCTGGAAAGGACCTTAAATATCTCCTACCCCTTTTTCAAAAGATGAAACAGGATTAGATGAAGTAACTAATTATTGGGTCATTCACATCTGTTTAGTGACAGAGTAGGGGCTAATCCAGGCTTGGCATAAAACATCTATACCACTCTTTTACTTAAAGACCTTAACTGCCTAGTTGACCTTAAAACTATCTCCTGGCACTGCCCTCCTCCCAGACACTAATATAAAGAAAAAGCTGCCCAAGAATAGATTTTCATTTTGTGCCCCTTCTCAAATTTTCAACCTTTGACCTTTGTAAAACTAAAATAAGTAGCCAGAGAAGCCAGGACAACTTAGAAGGACCTCTTCCTAGAGACTGGTATACTTTAGTGGAAGAGAGTATGAGGTATGGGTCAATATACCTGCCCAGGGCATTCAAATACTTCCTGAACTTAGACCATTTTACTACAACTCTCAAGTTCCTCATCTGTGGAATAAGAATGCTTTTAATCCCTGCCTCTCTCTGTGGGGATGTCATGAGGGACAAATGAGATCATGGATTGGAAGGTATCCTGCAAATAGCAGATACTGTTACAGAAGGTGATGCCCTTAGAGCTTTAGGTGGCATGTGTTACAAATGCTGTGTTCCACAAAGCCTTAAAGCTGGGGGGAGGACAGAGAAATACATCCCTTACTTAGTATACCAAGACTTTCCACTTTTGACCTGACACAACCTTAGGATTTTAAGGAATCTTCCTGGTCACCTAGGCCATTCTTACCCAACAGAACAAGAAGCCTTTCTATATCACTACAGATGGAGGGTTTTGTCTAGACAGAACATTAGCTATCTCACACCATTCTTGTATTGGAGAGTTCTGATTATTCCGAAGGTCATTTTTGACATTGGTAATGCAGAAAACAAGCTATTCTGCCCTTTTAATCCTTCTTACCCTCTGGGACCCCATGGAATGGCTCTAAACACACATTTTGAAGACAAATTCAGTGTAAACCAGGCCCTTCCTCTCTCCCTCCCTTTTCCCACCATTTAACCTCAAACTTTAACATTGTCATCTAGTGTTGTACAGTAGAAAGAATGCAAGATTTGGATTTGGAAAAATCTGGATCTAGATGGCTAGTTTTGTGTGAGAAATTCTGGTTCCTTCAAGCTCTAAGCCTAGAATTCCAAGAAATGAGAAAGATCATCCCTGCCCTTTCCATCTCACAGAGGAACTGCGAGGACATACTACCTCACTGCCCATTGCTCCTGTGAAAGCTGGCCTTCCAGCTTGTCCACATCCTCTTGCTGTGTGGATCAGAAGATGATGGTGTCTCTACAACAAGAGATTCCTTTCTCCCAGCCCCTATTCCCTACTTTTTGGGTTACTGACATCTTACTCTTACTCTGAAATCCCCAGTCCCTCCTGCCCTGAAGATGACATGTTTACAATCAAAGGTTTCTTCCTCCCCATCCACAACCTTGTGGATCCCATACATTCCATACTTGTATCTTAACTCTGAAACCACCTGAATAACTGAGTCATTTGACTCCCCAGCTTTGACAGAGCCTAAGAAGAGAAAGAGGGATTCCAGTTTTTAATCCAGTTTTAAAGCCAATGGTATAGTTGAGCAGCTGACAGGTTCCAACAATGTAGCAGCTTGAGGATCCGATGCCCTCATCTTATGTGTGAGAAAACCCAAACCTGGAGGTGAAAATGAACCCTGGCCCATGGGCTCTGGCTGGAGACTGAAGGAAATGTACATTTCTTGGACAACAGGAGGGGAGGTCCTGCAAAAAGCCTGTGTGTCTGTGTGGTGGAGATCTGGTGGGCAAGTTAGATGATGCAACCTTACTGCTCTGAATTCTGGAAGAAAACAACCTAGCATTTAAGATAGGCCCTGCTGTAAGCACAGGGAGAACGAGAAGTCAAAGGGCTTCTTAAAGAGTGAGCCAGCCCTCTTAGTGCCCATAAAAACAAGAGATTCAGACAAATTCGTTTGGTAACTATATAATGCTTTGTACCTTAAGAAACTTTTCAGCATGGCCTCCTGGAAAATGAATTGGACTTAGCAGGAAGAAGAGATTTGGATCCCACCTTTGGACCTTACTAATTGAGTACAACATGGGCAAGTCACGTCAATCAATCCGTTATCAAGCGCTTAATCTGTGCCAGGCACTTGGGATACAAAAAAGAAGCAAAAAAGAGTCCCTGCTTTCAAGTAGCTCACCATCGAATGGGCATACGAAGAAGCTGTATACATGGTACGTGGGAAATAATTAGCAGATGGAATGAAATAGTGAACAATTAATTATAAGGGAAATAGGAAATACGGGGGTCGGGGAAGGCTTCCTATGGAGAGACCAGCCCCGTCGTGGTGCCTCGGTTCCCAAAGGATGCCGTAGAGAAGTCCCTTCAAGAGTCACCCACTCTTTGGTTTCGGGTTAACGTCCATCGCGAATCCGCTGCCTGGGGTCCGAGCCGGGGTCCCACCTGCCCAGCTCCACCCGCCTCGATGGGTGGGAGGTGGACAGCAGACCGCGCATGACCCGGGGGGGGGGAGCGGGTTCGCGCTTCAACGAAAACGCACCTGGTCGCTAATTCGCGGGCGATGCTCCCACGCGTGCACCGAAGGGCTCGGGGCTTTTAGGGCGGGGTAGCAAGGAGGCCCCGAGACTAGTGGCTCCCCCGTCCCCGGGTCCTACCATCTACGAGCAGCACCCAAGTGGCGGCGACTCATCCAGGCCGGAGCCAGGTAGGACCGGCCTGGGCGGGGCGAGGTGCTCGGAACCTTTCGGGTAGCACCGCCCCCTCCCGCCCGCGCATGCGCCCCTCCACCCCCCCGCCGCTGAGCGGAAGGAGCCGGCTGACGGCGGCCATTGCTGCAGCTGCGATGGCGGCGGCCCCGGCCTTGGTGCTGAAGCACCGGCGCACCACCTTGGAGCGGGTGGAGAAGTTCCTGTCGCCCACTTACTTCACCGACTGCAACCTGTGGGGCAGGTGAGGGCCCGGGCGGACGGTCCGAGGCCGGGAAGACCCAAGCGGGCTCCGGCCTCCCCTTCCGGGGCGGGGGAAGGCTCCTGCCGTACCCCCCCCACCCCTCCGGGGCGCCCAAGAAATTCGTGTTGTCTCGGAGCTATTTCCGCCTAACGACCCGGCTGCCGGTGACGTCAGAGCCGTCACGCCCCGCCCCCTCTCCAGGAGGGGCGGGGGAGCGCTGAGGCCCTAAGAGAAGGGAAGGCGCCGAGCCGGGACTGTGACCACAGCCAGGCCGGGACGCGGGGCTGGGGGCGGGGCGCCGCGTCACTGCTGCCGGCCTTAGTTTCTCCATCTGTAGAGCGCTGGGAGGTCCAGGCTTCCCACCCCATTGCGGTGTCCGGCCTCCGCCAGGCATCTCCCCACCTCTGACCTGGCGTCCTTCTGTGGTCGCGGGATCCTGCCCGTAGACCTGGAGGGGGCTTTAGAGGGCATCAAGGCCAGCGCAGAGCTTAAATTCCATGTCCTTGGTCACACCAGCGGCGGGCAGAGCAAGGCTTGGAGCCGGGGTCCTGCCTCGTGGCCCCTTCTGAATCAGGGGCACCGACGAAGACAACGGTAGAGCCAAAAGCGGGCTGGGAAACCATCTAGTCTGATGGTTTCCAACAATTTTTGTTCCAACCGGTTTCAACCAAAACATCGTGTTGTTAACCCCATGGATAACTAATATACTGCTCATAATTTTCTTTTAAGATTTCTTCAACAAGCACTTAAAATAACCACAATCCTAACTTTGGCCCAGAAAAGCTCCAAATTAAAATTTACGTTATGTAATGATTAAATATAAAATTTCATTCCACCTATAATTATCAAAACTCTAAATATAAAATTATAAAGTGATTACTACATAAGGTACCATTAAGGAATTTTTAGCTTGAATACCTCTTACAACCTTGCAAACCTGTAGTGAACCACTAAATGGATGGGTCCAACTGTCTTGGCTCCCATCCCAAGGGTTTGGCATTAAGCAAAGCAGTAATAGTAACTTATAATTCTCAGTATTGTAGCATTGACAGTGCTTTATGACTATCTCATTTCATTGGGCATCATGACAACTCTGAGGAAGGCATCACAATTATTTTCTCCTCTTTATATTTCAGTACTTGACCAGATCCATGATGTCGTTGATACAGATATGCCCATCAAAGACAAAGAACGTCACTGGCCCATGCTTTCTCATTCTGTGGCTTGCTTTCATATTCTCCCACAGATTTTCCATGGGCGCCATACCCAACATGTTCAGGGCCTTCCTTTAGGTACTTTCACATTCTGTGAACTTTAGTTCCGCACTCCAGCTGTCTGGTTGTCATCCCTTGCTCTGGATCCATGATGAACAAACAGCCTGTTTCCTTTGTTGGTCATTCATGTTCTGCATGATAGCTTTACCTGTCTTCTGACACGTACTTGTTTATTGTTCCTGCTCTGCTGTGAACTTACACCTATGGCTCATGTCTCTGTGGCGTTTTGGACTATGCATAGCGTTGATTGTTCAGACATGGTTCTATTCCATGGAGAGGCAGCATCTGTGGTAGAGAGTGACAGACTTGGAGTCAGGCAAGCTCTGACTTAAAATCACAGGCTTATTTTTTTCTTCTGTAAAATGAGGATGATAAAACCTCTTGTGCCAACCATACAGGCTGTTGTGAGGATTCAAATGAGACAAGTTTGTGAAAGTACTTCACAAACTCTAAAGCACAATATCAATTATTCTTATTTCATGATGTGCATGAGCTCTAAAGCATCAGTGGAAGAGTCTTGGGGTTAAAACGATAGGTTTTGGATTATTGGGAAGGCCTCATGGTACAGTGGAAAGACTACTAAATTTGGCATGAGAGGACCTGGCTCTACCACCATCTGCTTTGTGAATTGGGGCATGTCAGTAAATTTTCCTGGACTGGTTTTCCTCATCCACAAAATAAATAAATAGGGGATGGAGTGGATGGGAGGAATTAAACTAAGTGACCTTGAAGGTCTCTACCACCTCCAAATTTGTGATTTTATGAGAGCACTGTACAATTTCCCAAAAGCAGTCCAGTATAATCTCTGTCTCTGTCTCTCTCTTTTTTTAAAAGTAACTTCTGAGTCCATTTCGTTGCCCCAATCCTGGGTCTGTCCATCCAACTGCATGTTATGAGTCAGGCAATGAGTGGTCTTCATCAAGTTGGTTTTTCCTGTACACACTGTTAAGGTGAACTCTTTTCAGGAGCTGGGGATCTCATTTAAGAGGCTTTGTAGCTTCCAGTGATTTCATATCACCCACAGAAAGAAGAATCTGAAAGAGCTCACTATCCATACAAATGTCCTCTTCTCTTTGGACTTTGTATTGAACATTCTCCATGACAGGGGACATGATTTTGTCCAGGAGATTTCTTTCCAGTTTTGTGTCTTGTTGGCGTTGATAGTCAGAGGATCCTTAAGCAAAGTTATTTTTGTTGTTGCTTCTTCAAGGAATCTTGTATAACCTTAACATAGAAATAAGTGACACCTTGGGGAGGAAGAACATTTAAGGCTATATTTTGCTCTACTGAAACATACTTTTTAATTGACAAACACAATGGGATCTTATATTCTCGCATTCTGGCTTATATTTTTTGTATTATTTGTGTGACTGATGATATCTGCTGTAGAATATCGTTTATAAAAGCCTACTTCTGGGGGCAGCTAGGTGGCATAGTAGATAGAGCACCAGCCCTGAAGTCAGGAGAACCTGAGTTCAAATCCAGCCTCAGACCAAACACTTGACACTTACTAGCTATGTGACCCTGGGCAAGTCACTTAACCCCAATTGCTAACAAAACATAACAAAAAAAAAGCCTACTTCTCATATTTGAATCAAGAATACCCTTGATATATGTGTAGATAATATTCACAAAGATTTTATCTAGATGAGAAAGTAGGCATGTAGGTCAGTGATTATTGATGACAGTATCAAACTTGATTTTTTTCCCCCAGTCATTCAGTATCTTCCCCTTTTTCAGATCCCTCAAAAATTAATCCTTCAGCATTCTCAAAAGTATGTTGCTTCCAGAATGGATTTCCTCTCTGGTTACCTGGTCTGGTCCAGCTATTCTTCATATTTTTGTCATAGGATTATAAGGTCCTAAACTTAGAACTGAAAGTAATTTACAGGCTAGGGTGAGTGGGATCCAGCTCATATTGGCTCACAAGAGCTGGTTATTAAATTTCAATTCAATAAACATTCACTAAGCACCAGCTATGTGCTAGGCACTGTGCTAAGTGCTGGGGATGCAAATAAGAAAAAGACAGCCCCAACCCTCAGGGAGCTTACAGCCTATTAGGGGAAGACAGTACACAAAAGGAAGCAGAAAAGGGGCTAAAAAAGAAAAAAAGCACCTCGAGGTATCTGATGCTGGGGGCTTGATGTTCTGTGGAACTGAAACCAAGCTGAGCTGCTGATGGAAAGTGGAGAGTTACCTGGGAAAGTTCTGACAGCTCAGAGCCCTCTGTAAGGAAAGGCTTTGGGAAGAGTTTGTTGCTCTACCCTTCAGCTCTCCAGTCAGGGAGGAGAAGCAACTGAGGGAGTGGCGAAGGTGTTGTGTATCAAAGACTGAGTCAGTCTGCATAGGGATGAGATTTCAGGAGATCACCTTAGCCTAGGGGAGGTAATTCCCAAAAGGGAAAACTAAGTCAAGGCACTGATGGGTAATGGAGAATTACCTGAAAAACGGCACATTTTCAGTGTGGGCATGCATTTATTATACCTTGGAAATCAGCAAATGCTACAAATCAGAGCTTGAGTTATTGTTTTATTGATTGTCTAGACTTAAGAAAGTGATGGAAACAATAATGAGGATGAAACTTAATAGTGTGTCAAGTATACATTTGTTTCCCCAGACAGCTAGTCACAAAGTAGTTACTAGCACTTCCCTACTTCTAGATCATCTTATCAACCCCCTTATTTGACAAATGAGTCCCAAAGAGGTTTGGTGATTGTCCATAAATGGCAGAGCCAGGATTCAGTGACAGCTCATCTGACCTGAACTCCAGTGTTCTAAACACTCTACCAGACTGCCTTCTTTGGTACCATTTCCCTTTCCTCAGTCCAAATGTGGTATTAGCACTGTCACTAATAAAGATAAGAATTTGTTACCTAAATGGTTCCGTTCTCATTTGTTGTCTTCTAGATCCATTTTTCAGTGCTCTTGGGATGATCTGTCTTAATTTGGTCTTATGCCAACTTTTCATCAAACTTTTTTTTTCCCCGAGGATCAAAATGAGTGCCTGGCATAGAGTAGACACGGAATCCTTGCTTATTCCCTTCCTATTACCTCTATAATGTCTCACTTTTCTGAGATGATTCTGTTCATAACCTTCTACCATTTTCCTTTGTATAGTTGCACAAATGAATTTATATTCTAAATTACTGTTGTCCTTGGCTTCCATGTTCTCTTCTTGGCAAGGAGATTGATAACCGCACAAAGGAAAATGGAGGAAATTGAAGAGGTTAAGACACTTGGCCAGGGGTCACACAGCTAGTCAATGTTTGAGGTAGGCTTTGAACTCAGCTCTTCCTGACTCCAAATCCAGTACTCCATCAACTGAATTGAATTTGATGGTCCTCTCTATACTTACCTGAGACAGCAAGCATGTTGTGTTATCTGGTCTATATTCTTAATCTTGCTAGGATGATAGGATCTGCCAGAGTTGAGTACCCATGGTAACTATCATGTCAGAATGAGGCATCAGAGTAGGTCTTTTGTCCTAACTTTATAGGTAAGGAAACAGTGTTAGAGAGGTGAAACGCAAGCGTTCAGTGCTCATTTCTACCACACCCCTTCCTGTGCATGAATGTGCACGGGATTGTTTGGAGAGGGGACTTCTGTGCATGTGCCCCCATTCCCTTGCACTCTTGTCAGAGCTGTAAAGAGCTCTGAATTTTATACAGGCTCATAAACTTTTGATTACATACATACATGCATATATTTGTGTTTCCCTTCCCAGGCTCTATGGAGACAGTTGCCCTGTGACTTCATTGTCTTGCTTCATGACTCCGGAACAGATGCCATATGAACAGGCCATTCAGCAAAACTTCCACACGGTCAGAGTTGGTGATACCTTTGGACCCACGTAGGTAACACGGGGTTTGGGGACAAGGCCAGGTGGGGAAAACATTTTAAAAAATCAAAACCAACTAGTGGAGCATACAGTAAGCCCCTCTTCCTCTAGTGAGGATGAAGAATAATGGAGAAAAAATAGAGGAATTTGAGAAGGTGCACTTTATGTCTTTGATTATCTGTTGGTTAGAACATAGGTCATAGAATCATAGATTTAGGGCTAAGATGGACTTAGAGATCATCTAGTTCATTTTTGAGTTTTATATATGGGGCCTGTAACAGTGCCTTGCACATAGCAGGTGCTTATTAAGTGTTTATTTAATTGAAGTGAATTTTCCTGATGAGGAAACAAGGCCAGAGAGGGCAAGTGATTTGTGCTGGGTCACACGGATGGCTGAGCTGACATCCAAATTCTCATTAGAGAATTAGAATTAGAACCTGTGACTGTAAAGGATCCATTTAGTCCATCAGGTTAAGCACCTTACCTGATGCATGAGTCCCATCTAGAGCTTCTCATACCCAGTCCCTCACAAATCAACCCATTTGAGTATTAGGCAATTCTAATTGTTAGGAAGTTTTTCTTTATATCAAACTGAAATCTGTCTCCCTATTATTTCTCCTGATTGTTCCTAGTTTAGCCATCTAGAGGCACCCAGAACATGTCTAATCTCACCACCCTATGAGAACCTTTCCAATATTTGGAGACAGCAATCTTCTCCAGGCTAAATATTGTTGGGTCCTTTAGACATGCCTGCATGCTCTACATGCCTGATCTCCCAGTTCTGTTCTGTTAGCTCCCAATTGCCCCTGGCTACTTCCCACCCTTAATCCTATCTAGACCCCATTCTCCCTAGGCCATATGTTCCAGGTCCCTGGCTTTCTGTTCGCCCCAGCTTACTGGCCACTCCCTTTCAGATCTTCCTTAGACCCCTCCTCCAGTCACTCCAAACTACTTGGTCACTCCTAGATCCCTCCCATAGTCTTTCTGTATATAAGGTCCATCTTGTCTCCATTAAGAGTTCAGATTCCTTAAGAACCTAGCCAAGGCTCACAAACGTTCAGATTCCTTAAGAGTCTGGCTAATATGGCAGATCTTTAATAAACCTTGTCTCTGGCTGAAAAAAAAAAGGCAAAGGATTCTTTCTTGCTTATTCTGTCCCGTTAGCACAGATTTTAGTGTTACAGACTTAGTGATTCCACACTTCTCATACCCCTGAGACCACCACAGCTGCATCTATAGCACTTTTTTTAAGCCACTTCCAGAGAAGCCCCATGGCAATCACTTTTGACCTCAGAAAATGAGCACAGACTTAGTAGGTGTACTTGTTTTATATCTGATCTTCTGTCAGTCCAGTAATGACCCCAGACAGTTTGCCTGTCCAAATGCTATCAATTGTTCAAGGCTCAGGAGCCATCTTAAATGTCTTCTTTATCCATCATAGCATTCAACACAATCCCACAGCCCACACCTACTCCCACATCAACCTTCATTCATATTCTTGCCTCAAATTTTCTTCCTCTTTTGTGTGCTTTGTCAGTCTGGTGAAGCCTATGAACTTCTCAGAATCTTGTTTCCAAGCACGTGTGTGTGTGTGTGTGTGTGTGTAATTACAAAGGAAAGCAAAGGTTAGTGAAAATAAAGATGTCACTTTTTTCCCTTCCACTGAATTCTCTCTGTGCCTTAATTTCCTCACCGCTCCTTCTCCCAATCTTAAGCCTTCAAGGCCCACCTCAAGTCTTAGCTCCTCTAAGAAACCTTCTAGGGCTACTTCAACTAAACTCATTAGGCAGAATCTGGTCCTTATCATGCACTCCACACTTTAGCATTTGACTGTTTTCTAGTTGTTTTGTGTGTGAATCTTCTCTACTTAGTGACACTAGAAAGAGAACTGTCTTTGACTTTTTTATTTGTCCTTCGCAGTACCCAACCAGCCCTAGAACACACTTAATAAATCCTTGGTGATTGTACTGACCTGATATGGTAAACTCCTTGAGAGTGAAGTTTACTGGCTTTTCCTCCATACTCTGCAGTCTTGATTTCATTGTGCCTGGAAGAGAGGCAGGCTTCTATTGACAATTTAATTGAAATTGACTTTCTGTTTCCCAAGCCAAAGCCCCTTGGCCTTGTGCTGTCTCACCCTGGCCTCCCCTTTGTGTCTCTTGTAGATGGTGGACCTGCTGGTTCCGAGTGGAGCTGACTCTCCCCAGAACTTGGATGAATCATGAAATTCACTTTCTCTGGGAGAGTGATGGAGAAAGCCTGTTGTGGAGGAATGGGGAACCAGTCCAGGTGAGACAGCAAATACGAATCCTTCCTAGGCTTGTTTATGCAACTGAATACCACCAAAGGAGACTTTAAAGTTCCTGTTTCTAAAGAACATGGGAACTGGGAGGCCCAGAAGACTTGCCAGTATCCTCCTTGGTGGGGAATGGTCTGGATTTTTTGCCCTGTGGTTCTTAAGACTCTGGAATGCAATCACTTTTTAAACACCATTGCTGTAACTGGCCCTCCCCAGACTAGGAAGTTAGGGAACTCATTGAGTTCAAGATTGGAACATGGGGTGGCTCAGAGCTGTAGGTTCTGTATCCAGGCCTGCCTCTGACCTAGATGTTTCCTAGATGCTTACCCTAGATGTTTCCTGAAAGTCATATGCTGACTTTCCTTCTCTAGTCTCCAGGTCTCTGCTCCTTGACTGTAATTGTCCTTAGAGGAGTAATGACTACAAACAATTGTGTGTTGTCTTGATCAGTTAACATAGTAATTGGTCTTTTGCTTGTGTATAACCCTTTGACTTTTCAAAGGTTTCAGAACTGCTCCTAAATAGTTATCCTATTTGATTCTCATAACCTTCCTGTGAGATACGTAGGCCTGGGAGTAATTTTCCCATTTTATGGATGGAAAAACTAAAGACCCAAACCAGTTAAGTGACTTGCGGGTCTCACAGAAAATCAGTAGCAGATTTGGAACTAGAGCAAAATTCTCAAAATTCCTGGGCCAGGGTTCTTCCTATCATACTACCCTTTAGACAGGCCAGTTGGTTTCCTTCTAATAAACTCTTACTTTTAAAGAGGTGGAATTTTGCTGCTTGGAGGGCAGGTTAAATAGTTAAGGAGACTGTGTGCATAGGTTCCTTGTAGCCACAGCCCCTGACGCCTGAGAACTATTGTTCTAGAGTTGGAGAAAAGATGGATGGAAACACCCTATGGGGATAGGTGATAAAAGGACTCCCAGTCACATCTGGGCCCCTGTCCAGTCATCTGCCTAAGTTGGGAGCTGGGGGGACTCAGGACCAGATCTCTCCTCCCCACTCAGGGTTTGACCAAAATGGGTGAGAAGACCAGCTACATCCTGACTGACAAGATGAAGGAAGGAGATCCCTGGAGGCGAGTGTGAATCCCTTGGAGGGAGGGAGGGAGTGCCTGAGGGATCGGCCCACAAAAGCAGTGAAGCTGATGGAGTTTGGGGTTTGACATTGCCAGGTAGGACTGGAATACCAGCTAGTTGAAGTTATGATAAACCTACATGGGCACAAATGAACACACATGCCTCCATCTGCATGCACAGCAATGCCAACCAAATTAAAATTTCTTCAGAAATCTTCAGGTTATCTAAACTTTTCTCATTACCTACAAAATAAAATTAGATTGCTTAGCTGGGCATGGAGGGCCCTCTGTGCGCTTTCTCCAGCCAGTGTTTCCAGACTTATTTCCTACTACTCATCTTCACCTACTCTGCATTGCCAGACTGTAGACAACTAGCTATTCACCAAATCCATGCTGCTATCCACTTCTTTACATGTGTACACATCATGCCTTGAGCCCGAAATGAACTTTTTCCACATCCATCCGACTGTCCAAATAATTTCCTTCCTTAAAGGCTGCATCAGGCACCACCTCTTCAGCAAGGTCTTCCTGATTTCCTTAGCTACAGGTGCTTGCTACAATTTCTCGTGCCTCTCTGGCCTCCTCTGTAGTTTTGTTGTTTTTTTTTTTTTATTCTCACTTTTAGTATTCCCTGTAGGTTTCAATCCCCTGCTAGATTGTAAATTTGCTGGAGCAGAGACTGGGAACATAGAAGGCTCTTCATGAGTATCTGTTAATTATATTTGTAATACAGTGTGGGAGCCACACACAGCCGTCCCTTCAATCAGGCAGACAATGAGCAAGCATCCATCAAGGACCTGCTGTGGTCCAGACAGCTGGATGGTCTGTGACTCAGATAATTGAGAAATGGGCTCGATTGTTAGGCCAACATAGAACAGGCCACTACCTGTGCCAATGAGCATAGCGAGGACGAGCAGCCAGAAAACTCACTAGTTAGGCCTCTGTGCACAGTTCTGTTCTCAAGGCCGCTTATTTGTTTAATCAGTGCTATCTATTTTGGTCACATGAAAATGTCTGAGTCTTGATTCCTAGTCTAAAACATGAAACTCATGAAACCCAAACATACTTGTGCAATACTGACTAGCTTGCTAGAATGTAAGTTTCTTGGGGGTAAAGACCAAGTCTTATCTAAATGATCTGTCTCGGCATCTAGCACGGTGTATTTCACACAGTTGGGGTCTGTTGAATTGAATTAAAATACAGAGGTTTTTTCTTTTTTTGGAGGGAAGATGAGTAGTCATTTAAGCAGCCACTGAGGCAGGTACTTCAGACTTCAGTGGGACTGTGACCTCATCCATACGGGCTCTTTCTATAGATAGATGGCTCACAGTTGATTCAGACCAGCTCATTTGTTTGACTCTTGTCCATGTCCTCCCATAAATCTTCCATAAAGAATCTATCCAACTGCTACAGCTTTACTTCCTTTCTTTTAGCATTCCATAGCTTCTAGTGCCAAACTTGGACTTTCTCTTCATTAACCCTCCCTCTGGTTATATGACTGACTCACTTCCTGTTCTGGTCATGTATTTCTTGAATGATATCTTTTATGCCAATTACAACGCCCATCATTTTTGGTAATATGCTGCTGCCATCCACCATTTCCTTGTAGGTCCCCAGTACTGTTAGTTCTTCAGAGATTGTTCTGTTCTGTGAATTGCTGCCATGTAAGACCACCAGGAGAATGTTGGTGTGTAAAAAGATGGGGTTTGGTGGCAAATAAATAGTTTGGGATAATTGACAATACTGTGCAGTTTCTTAAGTGCAGTTTTAACCCTCTCTCTCTGGCTTTGGGCCTCCCCAGTGCTCTGCCCATCCATGGGGTCTGACCAGGAAAGATGCACGGATTTACTTTCAGCAGGGCACCGTGCAGGCATTTGCTCATTTTTCTCCCCTACTGGAGGTTCGTTAGTTAATGGTCAGTTTTAGCTGTGAAATCTCTTAATTAGTTCTACAGCTTTTGGTGTAGGAACTCTTGATGAGGAAAACCTCTCTGCCAGTAAAGATCAAGCACTCCTTTGTAATTTGTAGTCAGAGAATTGCCTGAGAGGTTAAGCAGCTTGTCTTGGGGCACACAGATTTTCCCAACTTTGAAGGCGACCCTATCCATTGTGCCACACTGCCTCATTGATTTAAAGAAAACATTTGTAACAGAAAGATAATGTTTTATAGCCATAGTGATTTGGTGCTGGAGCTGTTTTATTTCCCTGTGCTCTGACTTATTAGGTATCCCTGGGGGTGAGAGGAAGCAGCCAGATGATTTCCTTTTTAATTTCAGGGTCTTGGGTTGTACCTTTGCTTTTCCCCCTGAATTACTTTTTACAGTTCTGACAATTTCTCCTTCTGCAGCGTGACACTGTATATAGAAACTGCCTGCAGTGGGGTCTTTGGGGCTGGAAAAGGCAGCATGATTGCTCCACCTGACAATGAGAAGAGATTCAGTGTGACCCGGGCAGAGATGGCTGTGTACCACCGGAATGTTCATGAGCTGATGATGGATATGGAAATCCTCCTGGGCATGGCCAAGGTAGCTAAAAGCCCCCGTGTCTCTTTTTTTTCCATCACTGAGCAAAGAGATCCTGAGCATCTGCTGTGTGCCCATCCTTGTGACAGGGGAAAAGGAGGCTGAGATAACACCACTGTACCAAACTCTAATTCAGGCTCCATATTTGTGGAGTTAAGAGAAGGGAGAGCTAAGTGTAGGCCAGAAGAGTCGGTGAAAGCTTCACAGAAGAGCTGGACCTTGAAGGATGCAGAGTTTGAATAGGCAGAGAAGAGTGAAGGGAGGGGGAGGAGAGGAGTGAGGAGGAGCGGGAGCAATTCAGGCAAAGGTGGAGAGACAGACGAGCAAGGTGTGTACTTGGTACGTGGAAATTGAGCTGGCTGGAAACAGAAGGCGTGTTTGGGGGAGCAGTGGGCATTGGGGCTAGAGCCACATTGAAATAGCTTTGAATGCCAGAGTGAAGAGCAGACAATTTCAGTTTTGAATAGGGGAATGACAACAATGAAAGCTGTTTTTTTAAGGTGTTTCTATTGGAGAAAAAGGAAGATAAGGAAGAAAATGTTTTGTCCGTGGACAGATCTTCTAAAAGGTGGTAGGATGAGGTCAGACCCTCCTGAAAGCTTTCTCTGCTATCTTGTATAAGCCTTATGTGTCCCTCTTCTGCCCTCCTGCCCCAACTAGTGCCTTGGGGAGGGCAGCCAGCGGAGCTTCCAGGCCCTCTACACAGCCAACCAGATGGTGAACGTGTGTGACCCAACTGAACCTGGTACCTTTTCGACAGCCCGTTCCTTGGCATCGGGTATCTTCCGCCAGCGCAATGGGGACAGCCAGCACACTATCCATGCCATAGGACACTGCCACATTGACTCAGGTATGAGGGGCGCTAGGCAGGGGGAGGGAAGGTCTACGTGCAGAGGAAGAACTCTTCAGAGAGCTAGTGGAACTGGGTGGGAATGGGGAGGAAGAGACAAGGCCAGGATAAAGAGCCTGGACTGGGAGCCAGGAAGCCTGGGTTCTAGGGCCTGCTAGTCCAAATATGACCTGGTCAGATTACTTCACCTGCCTGAAATGTCGTTTCCTCATCTTCCAAATGAGGGGGTTAAACTAGACAATTCCTGAGCTCCCTTCCAGCCCTAACGTCCTCTGTTGTATTTTCTAAAGTTCTTTCCAGCTCTAAAATGGTGTGGTTTTGAGATCTCTTCCACATCTGACATTTATATTTTGTGTTCTGGAGGTCCCTTCCAAATCTGATATTCTGTGATTATTTGAACTTTACTTAGTCCTGACCTAAGTAAGGGCTGTGCTGGAACCATCTCTGAGGGTCTTTGGAGAGACTGTTAAATTTTCAGTGTGAGCATTTATGCCTCAGAAGTCAGAAATTGCTACAAATCAGGGCTTGGCTTATTGTTTTGTTGATTGTCTAGCCTTAAGAAAGTGTTAATAATGCAGATTAAACTCAGTAATGTATCTGCACCTGTGTGTCCCCCCTCCTCCCTGCCCCTCACACATGTTGTTAACCATTTATCACTACACTTCTACATTGCCATGTAAACTTAAGCTTCATGTGCCGGAGCTCAACAGGCATGCAGGAGGAAGCTCAGGTAACAGGCATCACCAGACTGGGGGCCTGGGGACTGGAGGCTAGCAACAGCAACAACAACAACAACAATAATAATAATGACTTGCACTGTTATAGCGCTTCAAAGTTTGCAGCCTTATAGTGTCTCTGCCTGTCCCAAAAGAAGTCTCTAGTGAGAGAGATTGGTTATGGGGCATGTTCATTTTGGGTTGTTGCCTTTTTTTTTATTAATTTATTTTGATTTATCAACAATCACTTCCATATGCTTTTGAGTTTTAAACTTTTCTCCCCCTCCCTTCCCACCTTTCTCTCCAACCCAGCGAGCAATCTAATATATGCTATACATTCCCATTAAACATATTTTCACATTAGTGATGTTGTAAGGAAGAATTAGAACCAATAGGAGGAACCACCAGAAAGAGGAAACAAAACAAAACTGAAGGGGAAAAAAAGAGCAAGTAGTATGCTTCCATCTGCATTCAAAACTCCCTAGTTCTTTCTCTGGATGTGGACGGCATTTTCCATCATGAGGCCTTTGGTGATGTCTTAGATCCTTGCATTGCTGAGAAAGGCCAAGTTTGTCAATGTTAGTCATCGCACAACGTGTTGCCTTATTTCTTTAAGCATATTAACATGTCAGTTAACATTTTGGAAAAGGCTTATCGGCGAGTGTGTATTGAATGCTTTCAGTGGGTGGGTAAGGATGGATTAGAAGAAGTAGAAGTGATGGTTCCTGACCTTGGGAAACAGAATACAAAGGAATACTTCCATCCATCCATCCGTCCATCCATCCATCCATCCATCCATCCATCCATCCATCCATCATCCATCCATTCAATGTCTACTGAGCCTGTTATATGTAAGGCTTCTTGGTGATTCAAAGATGAATGAAAAATGATCAAATTTCTCCCAGAAACTTTGTTCCCCAAAGACGGGAATGGCATCTTTGACTTCCATCTACATGGAGCTTTCTCTATAATTGAATACTAATGGTACAACTCAGAACAAGGACAGCAGAGGAGGTCAGAGCAGGTACCAGGTGCTGGAAGGCTAAGTTTGTGAACCTCTACAGGAGATAGGACCTAAGCTAAGGAGCTAAAGGAGAGACAGACAGAGGGCAGGACAGCTTAGGTTTGGGAAAGACCAAGTCTGAAGACTTTGAGATCAGAATGAAGGGAAGGGGAGGTCACACCATGGAGGGTGTTAGAAACACAATGGTTTAAAAAGGAACCCAGGGGGCAGATAGGTGGGGCAGTGGATAGAGCACTGGCCCTGGAGTCAGGAGGACCTGAATTAAAATCCGGTCTCAGACACTTACTAGCTAGCTGTGTGACCTTGGGCAAGTCACTTAACCCCCATTGCCTCCAAAATTGAATGAAAGAAAGAAAGAAACAAAGATGAAAGCATTAACTAAAAAACAAACAAACATACATACAAAAACGAACTCTGGTGACTTGAAGGAATGATTCTGTTTCTAAGTCAGTCCTTCCTCTGAAGGGCAGCTCCCAAACCCATGGGCACCTTCTCATTCTGTGGGACTTGTTCGTGTCCCAGAGTCCGTCTTCCATCAAGTGTGCTGTCATTTAGATTGTCATCATGTGGGTGCCAGTGGCTGGTGCCTCCTTCTCTGGTGTTTTGCCATTTCTCCATGGCAATTCTTTTTTGGTAATATGTTGTAGCCTATTCGTGCTTACCACCTACCTCTCCATTGGTGAGATAAAAAGTGACAAATTTGATTTTTGTTTATGAGCAATAATAATTATGTACTTTGTTTTTTAAAAAAATCTACTATGGAATATAATTAAATGATAGCAAGTTAATTCATCAATCAACAAACAGTTATTAAGCATCTTCTGTGTGACAGGCAGAGTGCTAGATCTGAGCATATACAGACAAAAGTAAAATAGCCGCTGCTTAAAATGAACTTACATTCTGTCCAAGAAGGTGATGTATACATATATAGATAGATGCAGAATCAATATAAAATAAACAGAAGGTAGTTTAGGAAGTGTGGACACCAGTATTTGGGGGGATTAGACAAGGCTTCATATGGAAAGCCATGTTTGTGTCAAAGAAAACAATCCAAGCTATTAATAGGATATGAAAAAAAGCTGCAGATCACTAATAAGTAGAGAAATGCAAATTAAAACAGCTCTGAGGTTCTATTTCACACTCATCTGATTGTCAAAGATGACAAAACCGGAAAATGACAGTTGTTTGAGGGGCCGTGGGAAAACAGGCACGGGCACACTAATGGACAGTTACTAGAGCTGGGAATTTTTCTATCCATTCTGAAAAGTAGCATGAAACTGTGCTCCAAATGTCAGTAAGCTGGGCACACCCTTTGACCCAATTGTACCACCACTGGCTTTTATCTCAAAGAGATCAACTAGCAAAAAAGGACCCCTGTGTATAACAACTATTTATAGCATCTCTTTTTCAGCATTTTTATTTTCAGTTCTAAATTCTTGACAACTCCTGACAGAGAGATCATGGACTCTAGGTGTAGAGGATGGCCAGTGTGAAAATACAGACAGGAGGTGAAATGCGGTGTGTAAAAACAGAGGTTAGTTTAGCTGTACCAGTGAATGTGGGGGAGGGGGCAAGATATAATAAGACTTGAAACATAGGTTGGGGCTAGGGCCTAAAGAGCTTTAAAAGAAAAGCAGAAGAACGCATAACTTATCTGAACGATAATAGGGAGCCACTGGAGTTTACTGAGTGAGTGATGTGGTCAGATCTGGGTTTAGGGCAATCCTGTTGAAAACTGTGTGGTGGATGGATTGGAGCAGGAAGAGACTTGTGGCAAAGAAGCCAATTAGGAGGTTGTTGCAGTAGTCCAGGTGAGAGTTTTGTGAGTAATGAGAAAGGGACCATGCTAGAAATGTCATAGCGGTCTAAATGGTGAGATAACCTGAATAGGGTGAGGGAGAGTGAGGACCTGAGGACAGTGCTGAGTGGGGAAGCTGAGACCCTGGTGGGGCTTCTGATGGTGACAGCTGTTGTTCTAAAAGATCTCATTTATGATTTCTCAAAGTATAGTGTCCATGTTTTTTAAAAATCATGGTTTTTAAGGAATCCAATGATTTGTTTTTTTTTTTTGTAAATTTTAAAATTTCTTTTAAACTTTAATAACAAGTGAGAAAAGAGAAAAATTGACATGTACACAGCAGAACACGAGAGGATTGGCTATAAAACAATAAATTTCCATTTTAAGAAAGCCTCTATAAGACATATAATACATTGTTTTCAAAGCTGCCTAACTTTTCTTTGTTTCCTTATAGTTTTCTTTTGTTCTCTGTTGTGCACTTTTTACTTAATTTTTCCCCCCTCTACCTTGCCCTAAAGAAGGCTACAAGTAAGCACGGATATATATATATATATATATATATATATATGTATATATATATATATATATATATACATAGATATCTATAAACATGCATATGTACACTGATACACGTATATGTAAGATCATACTATTCTTATTTCCACTGGACATCTGTTTCTCTAACGTAGGTAGCATCTTCCTTCATAAGTCCAGATCTTCCCATGTTTTTTAAAATCAACTGGCTCACCATTTCCTACACCAGAGCAGTATTCCAACCCAATCACATCCTACCTGAGAGGTTGACTATGAAAGTTTTTTACCCCAGTTTTCTGCATTCCTTCTTGGCTGCATAGGTTTTATTTATACAAGAAAATTTTAATTTAAAGTAATCAAAATTGTCCGTTTTACACCTAAACAATGCTTTTACCTTATAATATAGCTTAAGTTCTGATACTACTAAATCTGCTTCCTCTCATCTTTTTTTCCTGGTTTCTTTGAGGTTCCTGACCTTTTGTTCTTCCAAATGAACTTTGTTATTATTTTTTCTAGTCCAGTAAGATAATTTTTTAGCAACTTAGTTGGAATGGGTTCAAATAAATAGGTTAGTTAGGTAAAATTGTAGTTTTTTATTAGGCTTTACTTATCTGTGAACAATAAATATTATTTCATTTATTTAGGTCTGACTTTATTTGTATAAAAAGTATTTTATGTTTATGTTCATATAGTTCCTGTGTCTTTTTTGGCAGGTATACTTTCAGGCATTTTGCACTATCTAGTTACTTTAAATGTTCTAAAACAGTATTGAATAATATTGCTGGCCCATTGTGTAGTTTCTCTATTTTTCTCTTTTGATTAAATCTATTTTAGCTTTAACTTTGTCTGAGATAATGATTTCTTTTCCTGCTTTTTTCACATAATAAATTCTACTACAACCCTTTATTTTATCTTTGTGTGTAGCTCTCATTTTTAATTTTTCAATATTTTGATTTTTTTCTAATATTTCTTACTATCTTATGGAGGTATTGGTTTCTGTTTAGTCTGTTCCAAATTTCAATGGATCCATTATCTGTCTTCAAAGGTTTACCACTTTCTATTCTAAGCTGGTTATTCTGCTTTCAATTCTTTCAACTAGTGCTTGTATTTCTTTTTTTTTAATGTTTCATTTCTTCTAGGTATTCACGTAATCCTTGTAGAAAACCCATTTTTCCTTTTGAATCTTTGCTTTGTAGTTGTTATAGTTATTCTTTCCCTGTTTTGGGGGCATGGAGGTGGGGATCTCTGACTATGCAGTAGTTTTTGTACTGGTCTATGCTTTCTTTGATTTTCCCATCTCTCTAGCTTTAGTTCCTGAACTTTGTGGCAACGCCAGGCTCTTCCCTCTGCTTTGCCAGGGAGTAGTCACACCCTGGGTTTCTGTATTGACCTCTGCCTGGATTAGGTTGCACTGGATCTTTGAGGTTGAGGAAGCTGCGTCTTCAGGGCCCTTCATGACATCTCCAGACTGAGTGATCAGGACCTTTGGAAGACCAGCTATCTGGAGCGCTGCCCAGCAGTACTGTGCTGGCTCTTGCCATTGCCAGGCCTTCCCAGGTCTCCCTACGGAGTCCTCCATGCCAGCTTCTCTAGGCACAGACTCATATAGCTTTTGAATGTCTAGCCCATCTTCTCTGCAGCTTATTCCCTTTGTCCCCTTGGGCTAGAGCTCCCTGGGCTGCTGGCTCCCTTTCCAGTGGCCTGGGGGATTCTGGATTGCTTTTTAGTTAGTTTAGTTCTAGGGTGAACAAGTCACTGACTGTAGTTTCTCATGGGATTTTTTTTTCTTATGATTGTTTGATCTGGTACAAATGCCAGGTTTTTGTTGGAGGTAGTATATGGGAGCTGGACACTGCCTTCAGGGAGGACCAGACAACCTAGAAGTTGCCTCTTGGACACTTTCTAGCTAGATGACCCTGGAGAAGTCACTAGCCTGTCTCAGCCTTAGTTTCTTCAGCTGTGAAATGGACTTCATAATAACACCTACCTCACAAATAGTGAATGATCATTCTGCAATTGATAAATGGTCAAAGGATATGAACAGGCAGTTTTCAGGTGAAGAAATTAAAGCCATCTATAGTCATATGAAAAAATGCTCTAAATCACTATTGATTAGAGAAATGCAAATCAAAACAACTCTGAGGTGCCACATCATACCTATCAGATTGGCCAACGTGACAAAACAGGAAAATGATTATTGCTGGAGAAGATGTGGGAAAATTGGAATACTAATGCATTATTGGTGGAGTTGTGAAATGATCTAACCATTTTGGAGAGCAATTTGGAACTATACCCAAAGGGCTATAAAAATATGCATACCCTTTGACCCAACAATAGCACTTCTAGGGCTATATACCAAAGAGATCATAAAAATCAGATAAGGACCCACATGCACAAAAATATTTATAGCAGCTCTTTTTGTGATGGCAAAGAATTGGAAATTGAGGGGATGCCCATCAATTGGAAAATGGCTGAACAAGTTGTGGTATATGAATGTAATGGAATACTACTGTGCTATAAGAAATGATGAGGAGGCAGACTTCAGAAAAACCTGGAAAGACTTGTATGGACTGATGCTGAGTGAAGTAAGCAGAGCCAGGAGAACATTGTACACAGTGACAGCCACATTGTGTGATGACTAACTTTGATAGACTTAGCCCTTCTCAGCAATGCAAGAATCTCAGACATCTCCAAAGGTGTCATGATGGAAAATGCTATCCACATCCAAAGAAAGAACTATGGAGTTTGAATGCATACTATTTGCTATTTTTTTCCTTCTGTTTTGTTTTGTTTTCTTTTTTGGGTGATTCCTCCTGTTGGTTCTAATTCTTCTTTACAACATCACTAATGTGAAAATATGTTTAATAGGAATGTCTGTGTATAGCCTATATCAGATGGCACATTGTCTTGGGGAGGGAGGGGGAGAAAAATTTAAAACTCAAAAGCATGTGGAAGTGATTGTTGAAAACTAAAAATAAATTAATTAAAAAAAAAAGAATGGAAAAAATATCCTACATAATATAAATCTTCCAGAACCTGGAAGAGGAAGCCACCCCTTCTTTCTAGCACTCTTCTCTACCAAATGATCTAATACAATTTTTTTTTCTAAAACAAAGGAAAAAAAAGAATGATCAAATGTAAACATGTAAACATATTCATTTAAAATTCTTTATTATTATTATTCTTTTTGCTCTAACAAGTTGGAAGTCTGAATATACACAGATAGCTGATTTGGAAATGGTTTCCACATCAATAACCAGTCATTTTCTGTACAAATATAATCAGGTTTTTTTTTTATAGTGTTATCTCTCTCCACATACAGCTGTGTAGCATAAGCCTTCTTGGTAGTCTACAAGTCTTGTGCCTCTCTTTTGTTCTTCATAAACTATGTTTCCTAACATGCTTTCCCACCGTTCTTCCGTGTGCCTGTCTTTGCACTAAAGTCAGTGAATATTGCAGCGTACGTTGATTTAATTTAGAGGGTCTCGCTGAGCTCTTCATAAACGTTCTCCACTATAGATGTCATATAAACCTCAGTCAGTTTCCTGGTGGTCTTTCTGCAGACACTTACAAGACGATGGTGCTCCTCGAAGTGATGCTTCTTGTTGCCTTTGGCTGCGCCACACAACCAACTCTCCCATTGCCTTTGTTTGCCTCTCCAAAGAGAGCCTGTGCACGGTCCTTCCATTTAGCTGCAGTTCCCTTCTCTTCAGGTTTCGTGTCAAGGTCCACATGAGTTAATATGAGCGAAGTCAGTGTTTCTTGTCAGTCTGAGAGCTCAGTGGTTCTCATTACCCTCTGCCCCATTTTTAGCACAATCGCTGCAGAGGGCCATTTTGTATTTCTTTTTGTTTTGTGGATAACCATTGCCAAAGAATTTGTCTCGAAGTGATCAAAGTGGTGATGAACCTCTCGGTACATAACAAGGCCTCACCTCAGATGGCGAGGCATCGTCTTTTGCCAGGACCATGTGGCTTAGCTTTTCGAGAAACCAGTTTCACTTTCACACTGAGATAAGGAAGCAAGACTAGGACTCTGTGAAGGATGTTATAACACCAGAGTAAAATTTTGTAAAGGTGTTTCTTGAATGGAACACCTAAAGCAACAGGATGTCATATTCAAAATTTATCCATAGATTATACGCTCATAATCATGGAACGTAGAGCTGAACGTGACCTTCAGAGATCATCTAGTCTAGTAGCCTGCCTTTGAAACAGGCTTGCACGACCTGTGGCCCTCCCATTGTGGCCCATGGCACACCAAAGGGTTCTTTCCTCTACATTCGTGTGGGCTGCCTAGAATCCTTTGATGGGCCATAGGTTGTGCAGGCCTGCTGTAATAAGACAGTCTTGTGCAACTGAGGCTAAATAACTTATGTACTTCCCCAGTCCAGTGAATTAGTGATGGAGGGGGGAGACCAAAACCTAGTCTGTTGACTTTTTTTGTTTTGTTGGTTTGTTTGTTTTTGGTGAGGCAGTTGGGGTTAAGTGACTTGCCTAGGGTCACATAGCTAGTGTCAAGTGTCTGAGGCTGGATTTGAACTCAGGTCCTCTTGACTCCAGGGCCAGTGCTCTATCCATGGTGCCACCTAGCCGCCCTTCTGCTGACTCTAATGCGATGTTCTATATGATACCATGGAATATAGAAATATTGTCTTTAGAAAAATATACATTAAGTTTAGAGTTGGAGCTTAAAATATGTTGGCTACTATTATATGACCAGTTTTGATTCTGTTTTCTTATGAAAGGAAAACTCCTTTATTATCTTTTTTTTTTTGTGGGGGGAGGCAATCAGGGTTAAGTGATGTGCCCAGGGTCACACAGTAAGTATCTGAAGCTGGATTTGAACTCAAGTCCTCCTGACTCCAGGGCCAGTGCTCTGATCCACTGTGCCACCTGCATGCCCAGAAGTTCCTTTATTATCTTGAAAATTCAGCCCATCATTCTATTCTAAGTTCTTTCTGAACCCGATGAATAATTTTTGTCAAAAGCATGTGGAGAGAGAACATACCTATTTATGGCTGCTGGCTTTTGGTGAGAGAGATTTAGGAGACATAGACTCACAGAGTACAAAATTTGACAGCTGGAAAGGCCACCAGCAGCCGTCCAGTCCAGTTTTTACCCAGAAGGAATCCCCGTACGACGTGCCTGACAAGCGGTCCTCCAGCCTCCATCAGAGCTGAGCACTCAGCATCCTTTCAGAACATGACTCTTATTTGCTCGGGGTAACTGTTCTGGGCTCTGCCTCAAGACAGACACTGTCTTCCAGGAGGCCGGAGACCTGTGTGTTACCTTTTCCACCCACTCACTGGAGGGTCTGAGGCGAGTCACTCAACCTCTCTGGGCTTTGGTTTTTTCATTTATAGTGAAATTAATACTGTTTACTTCTGAGGGGTGGGGAGTTGGATGGATTCGAGATTTAAATAAGTGAGATGATGTGCGACGAGGGAAAAGAAGACTCTCTATATGTGGAGGATTGCTGAGGTCCCCAGAGAAGCCCAAGTCAAGGGAAAGTGGCTGGCTGGTGTGTCTCCGTTGTAGCTGAGGCAAAAGCCACAGCTTTGTATGTGGAGAAGGAGGCAGGATTTAATGCGTTCACAGCGTTCAGCCCTTGGTGGACAATCTGCTTTGAGATTGGGAGAAGAAATGGATGTGAGTTGCTGGGCCTGTGTCTGTTGTCTTCCCTCTTAGCTTGGCTCTGGCCCTACAAGGAGACAATTCGGAAATGTGCCCGTAGTTGGTCATCAGCCATCCGACTCATGGAGAAGAACCCCCAGTTCACATTTGCCTGCTCTCAGGTAAGAGTGGGAAGATACCTGGCGTTCCCTCTGTCATGGCCCGTTAGTGCTTTTCTCTGGGTGTAAACTTCAGAGTAGAGAAAGGTGTTTGGGTTTTTGTTTCCGAGGGTCTCCATGATCCAAAGGGTGGGAGCATCTAATCACAATCTGGGTCATTGGTTGGAGGTATTATGGGCTGAATCCAGGGACCTAAATCTTCACCCAAAAGTTTTCCACCTTTACTAAAATGAACCCAAGAGTATAACTTAACAGAAATTTACCTAGCCTATTTTATGGGAACCTGACATCCTTTTTAAACCAGAACTTTACTCCAGTAGGGAAGCGAAAGATAAGAAGCGACCTGTCCTAACTTAGGGCTTGAGGTCCAATTTGAGCCATGTTGAGTCAGGATGGAGAACTGGAGGAATGATGGATTCATTCATCCTCTTGCTGTCCAGGGCTGAGGGACGAAAAGCCTTTACAAGAGAGCTGTTAATATAGTTTATTTATTCTCCATTCCCAGGCACAACAGTACGAGTGGGTGAAGAGGTACTACCCAAGCTTATATGCCCAAGTCAAGGAGTACGTCCGGGCAGGACAGTTTATTCCAGTGGGTGGCACTTGGGTCGAGATGGTAAGAACTAGGCACCTCCCTGGCTGGCAACATACAGTTCTTTGCTTTCTCCCTTCCTGATCTCACCCTTTCTTCCCACCTCCAACATTTCTAAGGACGCTTCTTGTGACAAGGACCCCCTGAGGGCTGTCCGCAGGTTTCTGTCAGTCAGTCAGCCAGTCATTGCTTTCACCCTTGATTATAATCAATGTAATCACACTGTCTTCCTCAACCACATTAAATTCTCCCTTGGGGTCTTTGGCTTTTCTTTCTCCTCAAATAAATATTTTGTTCAGTTGAACTGAATCATTAAATTTAAGCCCTTACTGAGCACCAACTCTTTGTTTCTCCCTATTACAGGTTGAGCTGTAGGGGACAGAGAGCAGAAATAGATAAGTCTTTTTATTTGGGGAGCTCACAGACTAATTGAGGAGACCAGACTCACAATCAGTCAGTCAACAAGCATTTATTGTACAGTGCCAGGCACTGCAGCAGCCTTCAGAGGATACAAAGACAGAGGCCTGGTCCCTGCTTTCAAGGAACTTACCTCCTTACCTTGTGAAAGAGTGACCCAAATTCAGAACTGGAAAACCAATGAAATTTGTTTCTGTTGCCTCTTACACCCTCTTTCAATCCTTTTCAATCCTTTCTTTGTCCTCATCCCTTCGCTTTCCTTTCCAGCACACCTTCCCAGTTCTCTCAGGCTGTTTCAGCCTAAGGTGTGAGTTATTGAAAGATTCTTTTTTCCAGTAGGGACTTGTAGAAAATATTGCTTTATTCTCAAGATGGAGAAAAGAGGCCTTTCCTAGTCCTTAATGCATCATACCTTGTAGGCACTCACCTACTCTGCCTGTATACACATCTGGCCTTGATCCCTGGCCTCAGGAAGCTTAGACTGTCAGAAGAACAGGACACACATTAAAAATAGATTGGGCAGAGCCCATGCCATCCATTAGTCAGTGTCTCAAGGTTGACATGGATTCCATCCACTCCCCTTAGGGGAAGAGTAAGTGATGTTCAGAATTGTCTTTGCTGAGTACTAATATTTCATTTAGCAAACATTAAGTTTCTGCTATGTATAGAGTACTGTGCTAGGTGCTAGGGAAGATGTCAAGTTTGCATAATACATGGTACCTACATTCTTGGAACATGTAGCCTTGTAGGTAGGTACAGATAATTGTGATCCATGACATTATATGATTGGGTGCATTTTGTTAAGTTGTTTCAGTTGTGCTTGACTCTTTGTGACCCCATCTTGGGGTTTTCTTGGCAAAGATACTGGAGTGGTTTGCCATTTCCTTCTCCAGCTCATTTTACAGGTGAGGAAACTGAGGCAGGCAGAGTTCAGTGGCTTACCCAGGGTCATGCAGCTAGGAAGTCCCTGAAGGCAGAATTGAACTCAGCTCTTCTTGACTCCAGGCCCAGCACTCTATCTGCTGCGCCGCCTAGCTGCCCCTATAAGTGCGTTAGAAAATTGCAAAACAAAATGCTGTGTGAGAGTATACAGGTACAGTCAAAGGGATCAGAGAACACTACCTGGAGGAAGCAATATCTGAGCTGTAAAGGAGCAGTGGGGACTTAACAAGTGGGAAGGGAGGGCCTTCCAGGCCCAGGAAGACGCATGTTCAGAGTCCCCCTGCTAGTTCATTTGGGCTCGAGGGTAGTGATCTTTTTTTTTTTTCTTAGGCAGTTGTGGTTAAGTGACTTGCCCAGAGTCACACAACTAGTGTCAAGTGTCTGAGGTCAGATTTGAACTCAGGTCCTCCTGACTCCAAAGCTGGAGCTCTGTCCGCTGCGCCACCTAGCCGCCTGAGGGTGGTAATCTTGACATGGGAGAGGCAGCATGCTACCAGATTATGAAAGGCTTTGGACACTAGGCAAAGGCAGCAGAACTTTTTCAGGAGAAAATAGGGAGCTACTGTAGGTTTTTGAGTAGAAGAGCACTGTGGCTAGGCCTTATTGTGTAAGAAAGGTTATTCTTCAGTGACCTGAAGGGTCAGTTGGAGGTGGGCAAATTCCTATTAGAAGACCAATGCAGCAGCGGTCCATATAAGTGGTAATGGAGGCACGTGCAAGGGCGTGGCAATGAGGATAGCCAGGAAGATTCTAATAAAAGAGATGTGCAGGTGAAGTTGATAGGACCCAGTACTGGCTGGGGGGTGGTGCACCAGACAGAAGGGAAGATAATAAGTATAGACTGGATATGTTGTGGAGTTTAAAATAGGGCATCCTACCAGAGGACGCCCATCCAGAGACGTGGGTCTGCAGTTTAGAAGACAGGTCAGGGAGTCATCTATGTAGAGGTGGAGGTTGAAGTCATAGAAGTAAATGAGTTTATTACTAGATGTAGAAAGAGTCAGAGATTGTGGAGTGACTTTTATTCACTCAGGATGGGAACCTTCCCAGTGGAGAGTCTATGGTGAGACAGTTCCTTCAAGGACAGAACTTCTTCCTTCAGGAATTTGGGAAAGTGTGTTCAGAGGTAAGTCCTCCTCCATCCATCCTCCCTCTGCCCCTGGGCTCCATCCCCATCCTTTTTCTTGGTGACACTGGGCACAGGACTGCCCAAACAAGCCTGCACCACATTGACAGGCCAGGGATGTGGTAAGAGTAGAACAGCAATGACCCTATTCGGTGGAGAAAGGAAGGGGCTTGATTGTGATCTGGACAGAAACTATCAAACTATCTTGTTCTTTGCAGTTCTGGCTTCCAGACACATTTGGATATTCAGCCCAACTCCCCCAGATCATGCGTGGCTGTGGCATCCAGCGCTTCCTGACTCAGAAGCTGAGCTGGAACTTGGTGAACTCCTTCCCTGTTAGTGAGAAGGACTTTTGGGAGGGGGGAATGCATAGTGGCTGTCAGTGAATCCAGGGGATCAAGCTTGGCTAGCTGTTGTTTCTGGTGAATAGAAGGGTCACCTCAGAAAGAAATCTCCTTCAAGAAATCATCTGGTGTCCACCCCTCCCTTCAAGCAGGTGAGGTGTCAGGATCAGCATTTGCAGATGAGGAAGCGGATTCCAAGGCGAAGAGGCAGAGCCAGGGCTCCAGCTTGTAGTCCTCCTAGTTCACTGCCTCTAGGAATAGCCCCCATCTCCTCCCTCCAAGGCTGATTACCCCCACTGGGTTTAGAGAGTTCATGGCTCAGTCAAGGATGGCTACAGCTCAGTAGAATATCCTTGTATGCTCCCTAAGCCCTGACCTTTCTCCTTGCCTTTCCTTAAGAGTTCTTGCCCATCCGCACTGGGGCCAGAACCCCTAGGGCCTGTCTTTCACCCAGCCTTTATATTCCCTGCACTGATTCACCCTTCTCTCTTTATTCTCTCTACTCTGTCCTGACAGCATCATACCTTTTTCTGGAAAGGAATTGATGGTTCCCGGGTATTGGCTCACTTTCCTCCCGGCGATTCTTATGGGATGGAAGGCCGTGTGGAAGAGGTGAGCCTGGGAATATGGATATAGGGAATGAGGAGATCAGTACAAACCTCCTGGTTCTGCTGATGTTTGGGTGGGAAAAAGGGATAGAAGACTGGCTTTTCAGGATATCTGTCCCTGGGCTAGGCATGGGTGTGACGTGTTTGGGGTATGATGACTTCCTCCAGGTGCTGAAAACCATGAACAACAACAAAGACAAGGGGAGGGTGAACCACAGTGCCTTCCTCTATGGGTTTGGAGATGGGGGCGGTGGTCCCACCCAGGTCATGCTAGACCGGCTGGAACGAATGAAAGATACAGATGGACTGCCCAGGTCAGAGACCCCATTCCCTGCCCTTCTGTCCCCTTTCCTCTGGGCACTCTCACATGAGGCTTTTGCTCTCAGAATCCTGGCAGAGGAGTCAAATAGAGCAAATCACATCTTGGCTTTGAGGAGAAAGGCTGAGAATCCAACCAAGGGAAACACTATTGTCCCGAAAGCATTATCACTAGAATTCCACTTTGATGAAGAGATTTTGGACCTTTGCTTGGCTGGGGTGGGTGTAGTGAGAGCAACTCTGAAATGGGACACATACTTATCGGTCAGCTTGTTCTTGCCTAGGGTGGAGGAGCTGGACAAGATGAACCCCTTCACCTCCCTTCCAGTTAGAGGATCCGTGAAGCTGCAGGGGCCCAGGCACTTCCTTCTCTCACAGCCCTCCATTTTGTCATCTTTCCATAGGGTGTATTTCTCTACCCCAGAACGGTTTTTCTCCCTACTGGAGAGGGACACGGGGCAGCTTTGCACTTGGGTAGGGGAACTGTTCCTGGAACTTCACAACGGCACCTATACCACCCATGCTCAAGTAAGCCATTTCTAGCAAAAGGTGGGGGGATTTAGAGAGGAATCCTTCTCTCACCCTGTTTCTCTATCTTAGGGAGCTCACAATCTAGTTGGGGAGACAAGAGGGACAGAATGTTACAAGACAGTGTAGAATCAAGCATTAGACTTAGTTGTTAGGCTTCAAAACATGTAGAAATTGAGAGAAGGAGATGAAATCAGAGTGACCTCAAAGGGATGGTCACATGAGATTTCCTGGAGGAAGCGAGACTTGATTTGGGCATTGAAAAATGAGTAGGGTTTGGGTAGGAGCTGAGCAGAAAGGACATTCCAGGTCGGGGAGGGACAGTAGGAAAGGCACAGGGGCAGGAATCACTCATGGTCAAGAAGCATCTGTTAAGAGCCGAGCATGTGCCAGGCACTATACTAAGCAATGAGGTTACAAAGAGAAGGCCGAAACCAAGTCTTGCCCTCAAGGAGCTTACGTTGTAACAAGTGGACAACATGTCTAAATCAGAACATACGAAATGACTACAGAGTAGATGGAAGGTAGTCTGGGAGGACCAGAAGGGGCCTCCTAGGGAAGGCAGGACTGAGGGGAGTTTTAAAGGGAGCCAGACATTCCAAGAGGTGGAGGTTGAGAGGGACATCGTTCTGGTCTGGGGAACAGCCAGTACAGTGGAGGTGAGAGGCAAGCTGGTCTAGCATGTGGACAGCTGACCTCAGATCCTGCCTCTGAAACCCAGCCTCTGTCCACCCCTGGGCAGTTGGCTTAATCTGTCTAGGTTCCACTTTCCTCATGTGGACTCCAGGGTCCCTTCCAACTCCAACTACGTGATCCTTTGGGAGTGAGGCTTGTGTTCAAGGAACAGCTAGGAGGTCAGTGGGGCTAGATCATAGAGTTCATGAAGAAGAATAGAATGTCAGAAGATTGGAGACATAGGGAGGGGCTGGCTTGTGAAATGAACATAGTGTATGCAAGGGAATGTGAGAGAAGGCCTTATGTTAAGAATGCAAAGTTGAGTTTTATAATTCTTTTGTTCCTGTAATACTTCAAAAGGTTGGCAGTGTAATTAATGAACATATTTCCTCCATTTCTTAGTAAGTAGTCTTCATGATTTGTTGTGACCAAAAAACATTCATTTTCTGAGGTCTAAGCCTTCTGATGATGAGCCTTTCCAAACTTAAAATTTTCACATCATGTCCAGGTCACAATGAGACATCAGAATAAGACCTAAGGGGAAAGGGTGGATGTATATCACAGAATTATAGAGTTGACGTCTGCAAAATATGGCCATGAAGAAGATAAGACTGGAAAGGTCAGTGTAGCTAGATCATTGATGCTAAGGAGTTCAGATTTTATGCTGTGTGAGTGATGAAACTTTGAAGTTTTTTGAGCAATGGAATATGCCTTTGGAAGATGAATAAAATTGGTATGCAGAATTGATTGGAGGGAGGAAAGATTAGAGGCAGAGAGAACCCAACCAGGTGGGAGACAAGGATTCAGGTCTGGTGTGACATGAGGTGTGAGTGCAAAAGGCACCAGGGAGATGTAAGGGACATGGGGCACAGGCTGCAGCCTAGGGCTAGTCCACAGACACCTTCGGTTTCCAGGTTGAGAGGTCTCCTTGGCCTTCTGACTCACTTTTCCCTACCTCACTTCACTCCTGCGTTCAGATCAAGGAGGGAAACCGGGACTGTGAACAGATCCTGCATGATGTGGAGCTCTTGAGCAGCCTGGCCCTGGCACGCAGTGGCACTTTCCAGTACCCTTCTGCTGAATTACAGCATCTCTGGAGGTAAAATGGTCTCCCTTTTGTGCCAGAGCCTCTGTGGCCAGCGTCCCGATGTACTCTGCTGGAGGGCCCGTCTTGCTCCCCTTGCACAGTGTATTCCCCTTTCTTTTGCCCCTCCATAAGAGGTCATTTGAGAACCACCACATTCCCCTGCAATATTTCATCAGCCTCATCTGACTGGTGTGGCTTCCATTATCCTGCTCTCAGAGATGCTGTCCTCCTTTCTCCTCTGATGTCCACAGGCTTTTGCTCCTAAACCAGTTCCATGATGTGCTTCCCGGAAGCTGTATCAAGGAGGTGGTAGATGATGCCCTGAAGTATTATGAAGGTGAGAGGAGGGGAAAGGTCCCAGCAGCTGCTCGTATGCAGCTGCCTACCCTTAAGCATGCTGCCTCTCCCATTTCTAGCCCCAGTTTCCCCAGCGGATATGTAGATGATAATGCGTTAGGAAGATGAGTATGGAATTGGGATGCAGAATGGGTGGGGGTGGGGAAAGACCGAAGGCAGGGAGAGTGGCGTCCAGCCCCAGCCACCTCTCAGGGCTGGTGTGAGGCTTTCCAAGTGAGAAGTGCCTCTGGCATCAGAATTGACTTTCCTCTTCTTTGCTCTGGGAACTTAGGCAAGGGCGTCCCTCACTCTGAGACGTTTTTCCCTCACTTATAAAATGAGACAGTTGAACCAGATGATAGATGTCAAAGATCATTTCTAGATCCATCAATCTGTGATACTCCATTCTTCATGGGTGGGCCTGTTATTTGAGGGCAAGGAGAAACTCAGAGGTCATCATAATTTGTCTACTTTCACCTGTGAAATTGTCAGAGTACCAAGTATAGAAAAACAAAACAGATTATGACAGGAAGAGCCCTCCAGAACTTGTGAAGAATTGGAAAAATCTTTATGTGGGTGGAATAACTTAGGTACTAGCCCACCTGGAATTAGGAGACTGGGCCAGCTCTCCTTAATTCTGCACGTATCAAGTACCCAGCCTTGGTTGGGGGAAGATAGGAAGAGAGACTCCTGGTCCTGGCCTCTGGAATCCCAGGCTAATTTAGAAGAGAAGACAGGCTGTAGGACTTCAGAGGATGTCCTCATCAGTCTGGGTTTAAGCAGTCAGGAGGAGGCAAGGCCCGGGCTGGCCCTGGAAGAATGGGTAGGATTTGCATATAGCCAGAGGGTTAGGAATAGGAAGGTCAGTCCAGTTGCAGTTTTTTGTGTCCTGGACCTGATGAAGCTTGTGGACCCCTTCTCAGAATCATGTGTTTGAATGTGTAAAAAAAGACATAGGATTACAAAGGGAAATGACTTAGCAAAATAATAGTTATCAAAATGTTTAAAAAACAGGTTCTCAGATCCAAGGTGAAGAGCCCCTGATTCAGAGAGGGAAATGTGAGCAAAGGCCAAGAGAAAGGAGGAGTGAGGTGGTCCTGAGGGTGTCCTCTGGCCAAAGCAAAGCATTCCAGCCAAGAAGCCCTGGGGGTTAAGCCTGGAGAAGTTGGGTCAGTTGAGATTGGGGAGACTTATGAAAACGAGGCTGAGGACTCTGGGTTCTATGGGCACTGAAGGTTAAGTGACAGCAGCTTTTATATAATGAGATGCTAGAGGACGTAGCAAACAAGGAAAAGGAAAGACCAGTGGGGGCTGAGCTGTTTAGAGACAGCCCCCTAAAAGGGGTGCTGTGGACTGAGCCCACAGACTCCCTCACGGGCCCAGTTTTAGATTCTGTGAATGCCTTCCCAGCCCATTTCCTATCATTTCCCAGATGTGATGCAGATGTCATTCTTTGCCTCCTTTCTCCACAGAGATTCGAAGCAGTGGCTCCCGCCTTCTGAAAGCTGCAATTTGGGCTGTGTGTGGAGGAGAGCCAGTCCCTCGAGATCTGAAGCCACCACGCAACTTCCTCATCTTCAATACACTGCCCTGGGAGCGCACAGAGGTGGTGGCCCTGCCAGCAGCCAGTGGTGCTGAAAACCTGGGTACATAGCCGTTGTCCCTGAGATCCCCCTGTCCAGGGAGGGAAGAGTCCTTTTGTCCTCAAGTTAGGGCTGAAAGGGACCACTAAAAACATTTGAGTTTAGATGGTAAAAAAAGTTCCTGCCTGGAAGGCTTAAAGGTAAGTGGAGGGTAGTGAGCAAAGAAGAGGACTGAGAGCCAGCCAGCCAGAGCTGGAATGGAGCTTTCCTATGGCTGACTCTGGGCTGGGCATGTGGGCTACAGAGAGGAACAGGATGCTGGCTTCACCCTGGGAGCCTCCATTTGGATGGAGGAGATGGAAACACCGGGAATAGACAGGAGTAAATGATGGCAAAGAGCGGCCAAGCTTGCACCCTGTCAAGAGAGAAATCCTCTCCTCTTCCCAGCAGTCATCGTCTGGCCGGCCTGCCCCTGACTTCAGCCCCAGCGTGGGGGTCTGGGCCCTAAATTAGAGTTGAGAACAGTGATGGACAGGGAAAGGTGTCTAGAAGTGCTGACTATTCTCCCTTCCCTCCCCGAGTCCAGTGCTGGTGACGGTGCCTAGTATGGGTTACACACAAGCCCCAGCTCCTGCCTCGCCTCCTCATCCGGTCAGAGTGGTGCGGGAGGTGAGTAACTGCCTGAAACTGGAGGTGAGAAGGGGGTGGGGGAGTCAAGAGTGTGGCCTTTCATCCTGTCTGAGCCCCAGTGTTGCGGGCTCTCTTGCCCAACTGTGAAGGAGGTGATGGGGCAGCCAGATGGTCTGGATCTTCCTGGCTGTGGATGCTGCAGTCCATCCTCTGTCCCTGATCCGTGTCAGTGACAAAGTGTTGGGTGGCAGTGGACCATGAGCACGTCACTGGGGCACTCCACTAGAGATTCTCCTCTAAGTCAACTTCAGCAGACATTTCTTGTGTGCAAAAACAAAAGGCCCTGTCCTCAAGGAGCTGACACTCCACTGGTGAGAGGCTACATTGTGTACACCAGTAAGCACAGCACAGGCTAGTTCGAGGAGGGACGGAGCACTGGCTGGTGTGGGAGAGAGGGGCATCTGGGCAGAGCCAAGAAGGTGCCCCAGGGGTGGGGGACAGGCCTGGAGTAGGCCCTCAGGCCAGAAAGTATGCGGGGCCAGACTATGGAGAGCCTTGAATGCCAGGCCGAGGGGTGCAGTGGGGAAACTGAAAGAAAGTGCTTGATCAGAGGAGTCACAGATTCAGCTCCACCACATAGGTGCTGTTGCCTTCTGTGTGCAGGGCTCCATGCTAAGTGCTGAGGATACCAGGAAACAAAACTTGCCCCCAAGGAGCTTATGTTCAATGAAATTGGCCTTGAGCTGTCCTAATTAACTGCTCTTTTGATCTGATCATTGAGTCAGTTTCAAATCCACCCAACTCTGTTGTCATCTGGACTATATCTATCCATTTGATCCACAAGCATAGCTTGAGAAACTTTTATCAAGTTCTTTGCTATGTGGAGCAACATTATCAAGGGGGAAAAGAGCAGTTTCCCTTGTTGCTTCTTCACTGATACAGGTCACCATTTGATCCACTGCTCTTGGCACAGAGCCTTCTGGTTACAGTATCATGCTTCTGTGCTTCTGTGTGTATATGGGTTTCCCCAGATTTCTCCTCCTATTCCTCCTTGAGTTCCCGTGATTTTTATGCCCCCACAACATCCTCTCTTCTCTTTTTTCTCTCGCCCTTCCCATCTGCACAGGCTGACGGCTCCGTGACGCTGGAGAATGGCATTATCCGAGCGCACCTGGACTCCATGGGCCACTTAAACTCCTTGGTTTTGGTTTCCTCGGACAGGTACCTTTGGTTTTCCATTTCCCTTCCTTGGGGGTGGCTGATGTACCTAGTGGGTCCCAGCCTGGAGTTGGGCAGAGGCAGAAAAGCTCCGCCCCCACTTTCATCATCACAAGGGAGCTTCTTGCTGATTGGATCTCTGGGCCCCTTATCTCAGTGAGAAGGAGGAGCTAATCAGAGTTTAATTAATCGTAATAGGAAATTAAAATACTATTGGAGAGAATAGAGGAAAAGAAAGAGCCAGAATTTGCCTAGAGAAATCAGGGCATTTGTACAGCATGCTACAGTGGCCCTTGGGGCACCCCCTCCTTCCTGACTCACGTAGTGAAAAGACATTAGACTTTTGGATATTGCGGAAAGAACACAGGCCTTAGAGTTAGAAAACCTGTGCATAAGTGCTGCCTTTGCCACATAATACTCTGTGACCATGGACAGGCCCTTGTGAGGGATGTGCTTGGGAAAACTTGGAGTCTGTAGAGATGAATTCTTTTTTTTCCTTTCTTTCTTTCTTTTTTTTTTTAAAGGCAATTGGGGTTAAGTGACTTGCCCAGGGTCACACAGCTAGTAAGTGCTTTAGGTCGGATTTGAACCTGGGTCCTCCTGACTCCAGGGCTGTTGTTCTATGCACTGCACCACCTAGCTGCTCTGAGATGAATTCTTTCTTCCTCTCCTTCCCTGCACCAACCCTTTTACCCCTTATAGCCCTAGAGAGGTATAGTGACTTATCCTTTCTTTCTGTTCTCTTCATTCAGGGAAACCATCCCCCGAGGTGTCTTTGGCAACCAGTTTGTGATGTTTGATGACATTCCCTTATACTGGGATGCCTGGGATGTGATGGATTATCACCTGGAGACCCGGTAAGACACATTGTAGGACAGGGCCATACTGCCCTCCCCTTCTGGAATCCTGAGTTTGGGGACTGCATTGCTCCTTGACCCCTGTGACCCTCTGTGCCCTGCAGGAAGCCAGTTACAAAGCTCGACCAAGCTGTCGAGGTGGGAATGCCCGGAGGCCTCCGAGGCAGCGTCCACTTCTCCCTGCAGCTCAGTAACCGAAGCATCCTGACACAGGAAATCGTGCTGGATGCTGCCTGTCCATATCTCCGGTTTCACACTGAGGTACTGATGGGGGTCCTTGGGCTGGGGACAGGCAGCCCCTCGTCTCTGGCACCGAGTCTTGGGCCCTGTCCATGAGCTCTTCATGGTGGGAGGGAGAGCAAGCATTGCCCAGAGGGAGTCACAGAACTAAGGAGGCTCAGTCATCTTCCCTCCCACCATCACGCATTATTCCACAGGTGGACTGGTATGAGTCTCACAAGTTCTTAAAGGTGGAATTCCCTGTCTGGGCCCACACCTCCAGTGCCACCTACGAGATCCAGTTTGGGCATATACAGAGACCTACACATTATAATACCTCTTGGGACTGGGCTCGATTTGAGGTGGGTTGGGAAAGTGGGGGACTGGAGGAAGAATTAATTCAGCGTCTGGAATTGGAAAGCAGGGGGTAGAGGCCGGGGAGAGGAGGGTGCTGGTAGCAGGGAGGGTTATCAGTGCTAGTAGGGTCATAAAGGCAGAGAAGAGGCCTAGAAAAGGATGGTGAAGGTTTGTCCTCCTCAACCCCCAAGGTGTGGGCCCATCGATGGATGGACCTGTCAGAACACGGCTTTGGAATGGCGCTTCTCAACAGCAGCAAGTATGGGGGCTCCGTTCGGAACAACATCTTCAGCCTCTCCCTGTAAGTCAGAGGTGGTGAGGGGGAGGGCCAGGCTCCTACCCCAGCTCTGAGCCTCACTTTCTCTCTAGACAAAATTGGCCTTTGCATGAAAGGCTACGTGAGTTACGGAGCTGGGATTGGCCTCCTTCTCCCTTCTCTGGTGTGGGGTAGGGAAGGGGTAGGAGGGAATGACAATCCAGCTGCCGTCTCCCCTTCTCCATAGCTTACGGGCACCCAAGTCCCCTGATGCCACTGCAGACATGGGTCATCATCAGTTCACCTATGCAATAATGCCACACATGGGTGAGTGCCTCGGGACTAAATATGCTCACTTTTTTCTCCCCAAATCCCTTCCCAGTTCATGCGTCCTTAGGACAGGGGCCTTAGTCTGGATCTGACCCTGCTATATCATCTTGAACATTCAAGTCTCTTTTCTTCTTAAGGCCCCAGGTTCTTCGTCTCTAAAGTAAGGGTAGCCACACCTGCCCAGCCTGACCTCATGACAAAAAATGAGGGGATGGGTAGGAAAGCTTTTGGAAAATGATACGTGTACTGTAGACATAAATGATTTAAATGGATTGAGGAGGAAAGTGTCAGACAGGGGGGTCGATGTACCTCTGAGCAGGGTTGAAAGCTGGTAGGCTCATCCATTTGGTGACTGAGAGGGGCAGAGGATTCCCCAGATGCCCCTCCCCATGTCAGGCTTCTGTAATTGCCATTCTTGGGGGCATGTCTTATTCATAGGAACGTTCCAGGATTCTGGAGTCATCCAAGCTGCCTACAACCTCAATTTCCCCCTACATGTCATACCCACTGGACCAGCCATCTACCGGCCTTGGAGTGCTTTCTCAGTCTCATCATCCGCTGTGGTGCTAGAGACTGTTAAACAGGCAAGTCAATGTTGCCAGGGCTCACTGTTTCCCCCTGTCTCCAGATGATGGGGTCCAAGGTAAGGGGTGGCCAGGAAGAATTTAATCCAGAGGAGAAAACTTTGGCTGCCCCATTCCCCAGCCTCCCATCTCATCCCAGGCAGCTGAGTTTGGAGTCAGGATTGTAACTCTAGTTTTGTCTCACTTCCCAGTTTGTGTTTGGGGTTCGGGAGGTTGCTTCTTAGCTTGAGGTCCCTGACAAGTGGAATAGGCCTGTCCATCCTTCTTCTCTCTTCCCCCAGGCAGAGGCTGGAGCTCACCCTTATACCCTAGTACTGAGACTGTATGAGGCATATGGCAGCCACGTAGACTTGTGGTTGCAGACATCACTCCCTGTACAGGAAGCTGTCATGTAAGTGTGCCGATCTGGGGGAGGGCGGAAGACACCAAGACCAGATCCCCCAAGTGGCCTCATTGCCCTCCCTTCCTTCTAGTTGTGATCTTCTGGAACGCCCTGACCATCGGCAGCGCTTGGCTGTAGAGAGCTCCCGCCTAAAGCTTTCCTTCTCCCCCTTCCAAGTGGTTTCTCTGCTCCTTGTGTTGCAGTCCCCAAACCCCTGATCAAGAGATAGGACCAGCACCTTGGGCCTCATCGCCCTGAAATTCCGGGCCCCAAGGCCTCAAACAAGTAGGAGCCTCCACCATGATCTTAACCACTTCCACTTTGGTCCCATCCAAGCATCAAGCTCCCAAACCCCTCTGCCCTAATACATTTGCTGCTGGGGACATTACTGTTCCCCCAGGGCTCAGAGGGAAGCCAGACATGCCCTGTTGTCTAGCTCCTGGGGCAGTGCCGTATCTCAATAGCACAAACGCCTGTGGAGGGGTGGAGGGAATGGGATGGGCTGCAGCTCTGAGGAGTAAATCTACCCAGGGGAGTGCATGCGCCTGTCTCAGATTCTTCCACTCTCAGCCGCTGGCTCTTCCTCAGGAATTCTAAGGAGCCATGGGGTGAGAACTCATCTCACCCCCTCCTACATCTCAAAGGCATATGCTTGTGTCCTTTGTCCTTTCCTTCCTTTAAATGACCTTGGCCATAGTAGCTGGTTTCTGATATACTGGATAGTGGACACATTTCAATCAACTTAATAAATGTTTTCATTAGCCAGCCCCATTTCCATTTCTCTTGGCTCTCTCTCCAGCTTGGTAACCTCCCGTAAGCTTCATGGCCAGGCCACCTTGTTGGGAAAGACTGTGTTCCCCAGGACGCCTATGAGAATGTGCCTTCTCGTCCCCTTTATGTCAAAGTAAACGGACACTTCTCTCCAGGTTTGGCTGCTGCCCAGAGGCCTCTAGATTCAGGTGGCCTGTAACCCATAGACCCAGACAGAAGCATTAAGGGAGCAGTGGACAGAATTAGAAAATGACATTTAATAGGGAATCTTAGGATCCTAGAATGTTAGAATCAGAGGAGGGCCTTAGAGACCAAATGTCTGCCCCCAGGGGAGGAAAAGATAGAGACCTTGGGGAGAAGTGACCACTCCACTTACGGACTTGTAGAGTAGATGAAGGCATGATTGGGATGGTCTGAGGCGCCCCTTAGACTGTGGGAGAATAGATTTTAAAGGGTTCTGAAAAAGGCTACATAGGATCTCTGAAGGATGAGAAGTTCTCAAAAGTGAAATTCTGAGGACACAAAGAAGCAGTTCTGAAGAGCACAGTTGTCTAAAAAGACCCCCAGGGAGACCCATGGCACTAGATTTTTAGGAAGATATGCACAGAAGGTTGGCAGCAAGGAGAGTTAACAGAAGATGAAGGAAGACAGAAGGCCAGTAAGGTTCTTCTAAAATAGTGTCAGGTGGGAGGAATCTCAGAATGAGGTGGGCCCGGTTATGGCTTACAGTCAAGCTTATTAGTAATATTGGAGTGGGGGGAGATTAAAGAAGAGATGGCACAGCCGCTTGGTGCAAATGAGACGAAAATAACTGAGGAGAGAGAAGGAAGAGCTGCTCTGCCTTTATTTTGCTTCTATTTTCTTTGCCGAGGAGAGTGACCTTCAGACCCAAAAGGACAGAATAAAAATGGCTAATGAGGTCTTGATGCCTAAGATAACTAAGGCCATTGTAAGAGAGGACCTAGCTGCCCGCACTTGATGAGTCCGAGTCCCCTGGCACAGCTGAACAGCATCGGAGAGGCCTCAGAGACCTGATCCATGTGATAGCAGAGTCCTAACTTTAAGAGGCAGTGGAGGACAGTGGAGGTGACCCAGCTGTGGGCCCAGGCAAATAGCCTAGTTTTCAAAAAAGCCCATTGCCAGTCTTGGAAGATTGTGCCTCCTCTTTATGCCTCACTGGTCTCCTGGAGAGGAGAAGGAACCATCTGACAGCGCAGGGGCTTTCCTGGGAAGAGATGGAGGCCCCTTCCTGTGAGGTGTGCAGGTAGAGGAAGGAGAGGGTGCCCGTATTGGGTGGCAGATTGTACCACTACTGCCACCTAATGAAGCAGCACTTCGTGGTTTGCTAAGCGCTTTACAAAGAGGATCTCTTTTGATCCTCACAACAACCCTGGAAAGCAGGTGGTGTTATTGTTATCCTCATTTTACAGTTGAAGAAACGGGCAAATGGGTCAAGTGACCTGCCCAGGATCACACAGCTAGTGTCAGGGGCCGGACTTGAACCCTGGTCTTCCTGACTGCAGGCCAGCGCTCTGGGAGCTATGCCACCACCTCATTGCACGTTCTTGATATGACCTTGTTGATCATGGTACAGCAGAGAGAGCACTGGCTTTGGAGTCAGAATACCTGAGTTCAAATCCTTGTACTGTCTCTTAACCACTTGTATGACCTTGGAAAAAGTAATTTAGCAAAAGCCATCTATAGTCATGTGAAAAAATGCTCTAAATCACTACCGATTAGAGAAATGTAAATTGAAACAACTCTGGGGTACTACTTCATACCTATGATCGGCTAATATAACAGAAAAGGAAAATGACAAATGTTGGAGGGAACGTGGGAAAATTTGGACACTAAGGCACTGTTGGTGGAGTTGTGAACTGATGCAGCCATTCTGGAGATAATTTGGAACTATGCCCATGCATACCCTTTGACCCAGCAACACCACTACTAGGTCTGTACCTCAAAAAGATGAAAGGAAAAGGACCTACATGTACAAAGATATTTATAACAGCCTTTTGTGGTGATAAAGAATTGGAAATTGAAAGGATGCCCATCCACTGGGGAATGGCTGAACAGTTGTGATGGAATACTATTGTGTAGTTTCAGAGAAACCTGGAAGACTTACATGAACTGATGCAAAGTGAAGTGAGCAGAACCAGAACAGTGTATACAGTAACGGCAATACTATACAATGATTAACTGTGAATGGCTTGGCTATTCTGATCAATACAATGATTCCAAGACTGTTTTAAAGAATTCATGATGAAAAATGCTATCTGCATTCCGAGAAAGAACTGATGGGAGTTGGAAGACAGATTGAAGCATGCATGGTGTTGTTTTACTTTCTTTTTCTTTTTTTGTTTTTGTGTATGTATGTGTGTTTTCTTTTACAACATGACATATGGAAATGTGTTTTGCATGACTGCACATGTATAACCTTCATCAAATTGCTTGCCTTCACAAGGAGGGGGTAGAGGTAGGAGGGAGAGAATTTGGAACTCAAAATTGTAATAAAAAAAGGTTAAAATTTTTTTTACATATAATTGAGAAAAAATAAAATATTAAAATTCAAGGGGAAAAAAAGAAAAAGTCATTTAACTTCTCTGGGCCCCAGTTTCCTCACCTGTTAAATGAGGGGGCAGAACTCAGTGGCCTCTGAGGCCCTTTTCAGCTCCAAATCTGCAATCCCATGATCCTGTGAATTAGGCCCATTTTACAGATGGATGAATGAAGGTAGGAAGTCGGTGCTCTCAAGGAGCTCATATTCTAATGGAGGAGACAACATCCATGGAAGGTTTGAGCTGCAGATCAGATGGAGGGATCTCCTGCTCTTTGGGGTGCAGGAAAGAAGATGTTAATGCTGCTTCTTTGCTGTCATTTCCATGGATAAAATGGCATCTGTTTCTGATGTTGAACCATTTGTCAGTGCGAAGGACTTGTGTGAAACTGAGGATGGCCAAGGGAGGATTATGACTTGCCCGGGGCCACACAGCATTATCTGATGCAGGATTTACACTCAGGTTCCTGAACTTAAGTCCAGCTCTGTCTCCTGTGTCACTTAGATGAACTCAAGGGTTCCTTTTAGCTCTAAAATTCTACAGAGTTAAGAAGTTCTGAAGGGAAGACTCCCCTGTCCTTTTCTGCTTTCTGGTGCCATTTCCCTAAATCGTGAGATTTTTTGCCAACTTGCCAAGGAGATGCGAGTCATAGGGTGGTAATGAAGGGCTTAGGGTTTCTAGTCAGATTTTATTGTCAGTATAAAAAATATAGCATCTCCCAAACTGGTTCAAGAATTCTTAAATGATCCTGGATTCCCAGCCCTGCTGGGGAAGGAGCAGTAGGTGTGAGAGGCAGAGGACGAGGACCTGGGATACGTGATTGGGGTGGGAGAGAAAGGAGAGGGGTGAAAGGCATCTGCACATCCTTCCCACCTTGGGATGGGGTGGGGCAGAGGGACTGTCATGAAGGAGAGGAACTGACGGTCCAGGGGCTCTAGGTGCTAAGCTTTTCCTGCCTCACCTGACAGCAACCTACTGCTCTCAGCTGTGGAAATGATTCATTTTCAGAAATCAATTATTGAGCCTTTTGGGCGGGATTGTGCATCATATGAAAAGCATTGGATGCTCTAAAATTTGAAGCACACAGCTTGTGCCAGGGTCTTCTGGCTGCCCTGATCCTGCCGTGGCCACATTCCCATCCCTAGCATTGGGTGGAACAGGAGAACTCAGGGGGCCCTTTCCCACCTTGGGGCAGAAAGATCTCAAGGAGGAGACAGGCCCAAGGCACCAGCCCCCTTGTGCTACGGAGGCAGGGAAGAAGGTGGAGGGAGCCTGGCCTTGGAATTCACTTTCCCTTTCCTGGCTCTGCCTGCTGGAAGAAAGGAAACAGAACTGTAAGATCAGCAGAACTGAGTAGGGCTCCTGACCCAGAAGGATGATGGAGACCCAAGGATCCCCTCACTGGTATTTCCTGCCTCTCCCTGGTTCCTTCTCGATTACACTCTTGCTCAAGACTTCTCCCCCACCCGGGACGTCCTCTCCAACTTCTCTTTGCCTGTCCCCAATTCTTCCTTGTCCTTCAAGGCCCAAACAAATCCCATTTCTTACTCTCTATTACCCAAAAAGGGAAGCTAGGATCCCATGTAGCATTCCTACCTGTTTGTACTTGGGTCACCAGCTGCTTTTTTCCATCTGGAACTCCTAGATCATTCTCTGGGGATGCTGCAGCAGAACTCTTCAATCGGTGCTGGGATTTGCGGCCTCTGGTTGATTCCACATTTCCCTTGGCTTCTGGGTCAAGAGACCCCTTCTGTGACTTCTTGCCTGGTTTCCTTGCTCTGGTGGGGCCTTTCTTCTTTGGCGTAGACATAGGGTCCTAGACAGAAGAAAATCAGGCCCTTATCTGGGTCCTGAAAGGGCTCAAGGAGAGGAGAGTGGGACATGGCAAAGCCAAAATGGGGGGAGGGTCCCCTGCCTAATGCCTCTAGAGCACAGCTTTGGTGGTCTTAAAACAGCCATTGAGCTGAGGTGATTTGGGAGGCAACAGCATGGGCTGGGAGGCCCAAATACCGCTTGAAAGAAGGGGAATGTAGTTACCCTCCCCTCAAGGGAGCCAGGCTTGTTCTAGAAAATGTCTGAGGCTCTCAGATATGCAATACTCCATTTTTCTGAAGGGAAACTCCCCTTTTGCCACAGCAGAGTCAAGGAAAGAAGGGGGATTCCCCTTGTGGGGGTAGGTATTGTTGGGGGATGGAGCCCATACCTCTAAATCGGTAACATCAGGGATGGATTTTTCCTTCACATGCTTCTTACGGGATTTCCCTCCTGTAGGAAACCAAGGGTGACATGGAGCTGTTCAGGAGTCGGGGTGAGGGCTGATCTCATCCACAAAGTCCTAAGCCCTGCCTAAAATGTCCCACCCAGGTGGCTGCTGTGAAATCCTGGGGCATCAGCTGAGGAATCAGAACTTTGGGTCTCTGAAGACCTCAGTTCCTACTGCAAGGGTCTATGAGTGAGGCAGAGAGTGCTTAGTGGCGGGGGTGGGAAGCTAGAAAAAGGAAGAAGGGGTAAAATCGGGGTCCTGCCTGTATTCTGTATGTAGGAACTCTATCACAGAATGCTTGAATTTCCTGTCTCTGATGACAGCAAATATCCCATCCCGCTTGGATAGCTGTCAGTTCTTACTGCACAAAGAAGTACAACCTACCTTTGGGGGCCAGAGGGCCAGGATCTCCCTGAAATGAAACAAGAAACAATTAGATAGAAATCTTCCTCCTTTCTGGCCAGTCCTCACCCACTCTCTGAAGCTTGGTCACTTCCTTTCTTGCTAGAGGGATCTCTTTAGGAGAACTGGAAAGCTCCTGCCCTCATCTGGACCCTCCCATTCCCTAAATGGGGCCAGGGAGCAAGAGAATCTTCTCATGAAGACAATCCCATCATTCCCCCAATACGCACAACTGCTTCTAAGCCTTCACTTACACTGTTGTCTCAGCCTGGAATTCCTTCTGCTCCCTCTATCCAAATTCCTCCTATCCTTCAGGGTCCAGCTCAAGCTCTATCTGGGCAAGCCTTCCATTACTACCCTCAGGAACTTTGTCAGGTACCAGATTGAATTCAGACAACTATTAAGTACTTAAATTGCATTAGGGGGCTGGAATGCCAGGACAGGAAGAAAAAACACTCCATTCTCCTGGGGGCAGGGAGGGCAAAGAATCTATACAAAGATAACTAAAAACAAAATATATGCAATATAATTATGGGAGGGAACAGTAATAAGATGTATACAAAATATACATAATTTGGGTGGATGGGAGAGACTCTGGAAAGGCCTCTCAGATAAGGTGGCACTTGAACTAGGCCTAAAGGTAACAGGAGTCCCAAGAGGCAAAGGTGAAGAGGGAGGTCACGCCTGGCATGGGGGATGGCCCTGTCCAGAAGTACAGACATTGGAGGTGGGATGTTAGGCTCTGGGCCTCCTCAAAGCTCCCCACCAGGAGGTGAATCAGATAACAGAAGCATGAAAAACAGAAGCCAGGTCTCAGAGACCTGAATCAATTAACAAAAAGTATTTATTAAGACCCTACTATATGCCAGGACTATGTGAGGTACTAGCATACAAAGACAGAAACCACATAGTCCCTGACCACATGGAGCTTATAGTTTATCCAGAGTGTGTGTGTGTGTGTGTGTGTGTGTGTGTGTGTGTACACATGTGCATGTGTACAAGATAAACACAAGGCAATTTGGAGGGAAGGCACTAGCCACTGAGGGGATAAGGGAAGGTTTCATGGAAAGGTGCTATTTGTATTGAACCCTGAAGGAAATGAGGGATTCTAAAAGGTGGAGATTAGGAAGGAGTGCATTACATGGAGATGGAGAAGTAGATGGAGATGTGATGGAGGAGATGGAGATGTGATGGAGGAGATGGAGATAGAGATGATGGAGATGGAGATGGAGGAGATGGGAAGGAATTGGAGATAGAGATGGAGGAGATGGAGATAGAGAAGTAGGTAAAGATGGAGATGGAGATGGAGAAGGAGATAGAGATGGGAAGGAGTTGGAGATAAGAGATGAAGGAGATGGAGAAGGAGATGGAGATGTGATGGTGGAGATGGAGAAGGAGATGGAGATGGGAAGGAGCTGGAGATAGAGATGGAGGAGATGGAGAAGGGGATGGAGATAGAGTAGTAGATAAAGATGGAGATGAAAATGGAGAAGGAGATGGCGATGGGAAAGAGGTGGAGAAAGAGATGGAGGAGATGGAGGAGATGGAGATGGAGAGTAAGAATGGTGGTTTGATTGGCCTGCAGAGTGAACCTGCCCCGGGATCCAGAGATCCCTTCAAGCAAGGGAATGGGAAATGGTATTGAATGGCACCTGGGTTCCTTTAAGGCTAGGGCAGAGATCTCACAAATCACAGCCAAGCCCAACCACCAAGTGCCAACTTCCCCATGAAAGATGCTTGTCAGGTGGTCTTTGTTGGCACAGCTTGCCTTCTTCATCAAGATTCTGCCTTTACCCATCTGCTCAGCTGATCACCACCTGGCTGGCACATACATAGCTAGGAAAGGAAGAGGTGGTTGCCAATTTCTCCTCCCTGATTCTGCCACTCATTCAATGCTTGACCTTGGGCAAGTCTCTGTGGGACTCACTTTCCCAGTCTATCAAATGGGGAGAATACCTTGCCTATCGACCTCACTGGGTTAGTGTGAAGGCTCAGGTGAGATAACAGATGAACAGAAAAGTACCTGGAAAAGCAGGAAGTGCTGTAGAGAAGTGTTATTTATTATTACCTGGAACCAAATGGTCCTTCCACACCTGTCCCGGAGGCAGCTCATACCAGACACAGAGTAGCAGCGCAGCCATGCCCGGAAAGTTGAAAAGTCATCCTCCCTGTTGGGCCCATAACCTTTACCCCCTTGATGACAAGGGTGGGAAGAGGGAAGGTTCAAGATAAGGCTTTCCCAATCATGTCCACTTATCCCCACCTCTGTCCCGGGGGAGCCTAAGGGACGGAGTGACAAGGTTTTGATACTAGCTGTGCAGCTAACTTGCTGTGAGAACACAGATAAACCACTTCCTTTCTCTGAGCCTCACTTTCCCCATCTGTGAAGAAGGGATAATGTCAGAAAGGACAGTGGATCTGAAGTTGAGACCTGAGTTCAAATCCTGCCTCGGATCCTTACAGTCTAAACAAACTTGGATTACTCACTTTCCTTCTCTGGGTCTTGGTTTCCTCCTTTGTAAAATGGAGTTAGACTTAGATGGTCAACAAGCTTAGTTCCAGTTCTGAATGCTATGACTCCAACTTATCTACCCCACGGGGCTACAGAGAAGATGGGAAAGGACTACAAAACCACTGCTGCTTTCCCAGGGAGCCCAAAGCTAGCTAGGGAGAGGGGGAAGAGTGCCAGGGCACACCAGGGTTCATGCCACCGGGCCTCACCTAATCGGATCACCTCCATGGGTACCAAGTGGCACAGCTCCAGCAAGTCTGGGTTCTCTAGTTTTGCTTTGACCTTCTTGCTCAAGGTCAGTTCTGGGTTCTGGCCAAGGGAGAACGGACACACATTTAGTGACCCTAGGCTTCCTGCCCCTCTCCGTCCCCCTGGCAGTCTACCCCAGGGTTCAGTCATGGTCAAGAATTACTGTGCAATGGGGGATCACACATGCAACTTGTGGAAACAGCCTCTTCTTCCCCACAAGCTTGTCCTGCTGTCTGAAACGCCATCACTTGCCCTCTATTTTTTTGGCCAGTTTCTGTCTCCCCAGTCCCGCCCCAAAACTTTGCTGACTGTTCATAGAAAGCTGGGACAGACCTCAGGGATCTAGTTATGGGCAGCTACTTAGTGCTAATTAGCTACTTAGTACTTAGCACAGTGTAGGCTCACAGTAGGTACTTAATGAATGCTTGTTGAAGGGACAGCTAGGTGGTGCAGTGGATAAAGCACGGTCCTGGAGTCAGGAGGACCTGAGTTCAAATCCAGCCTCAGACACATGATACTTACTAGCTGTATGACCCTGGGCAAGTCACTTAACCCTGACTGCCTCACCAAAACAAAACAAAACAAAAAATAAATGCTTGTTGATTTGACTTAGTGGAGGGGGGATGATATAGTACAAAAAAATGAATGATGGATTTGGGGTCAGGAGAGACCTGGGTTATAATCCTGGTTTCTGAAACTGACTAGTATGCCCATGGCAAGTCACTTAAATTCTATTTGCCTCAGTTTTCTCATCTATAAAATGAGGATAATAACAGCACCTACCTCGCAGGGTTGTCACTGAATTAAATGAGGATCAATTGATCCCATAAGGTAATGGTTATGGGGCAAAACTTCAATTGTGGGATAAATGTTGGTCTTTACTGTGGCCCAGCCCGTTCATTTTACAAGAGGAGAAAACAGACTCCAAAAGGGGAAATGTCTTGCCTGAGAGCACACAGGGAGTCAGTCGCAAAATTAGGATGGGCCATTAGGTCTCCTAACCTCCCAGTCACAGGCTCTTTTCTCTATGTCATAGTCTCAGTGCCCATGGCCTGGCCTTGGGCCTACCCCCTTCAGTCTTTTTTTTTTTTAATAGGCAATTGCGGGTAAGTGACTTGCCCAGGGTCACACAGCTAATAAGTGTCAAGTGTTTGGTCGGAGGCTGTGTTTGAACTCAGGTCTTCCTGACTTCAGGGCCAGTGCTCTGTCTACTGTGCCACCTAGCTGCCCTTCACCCCCTTCAGTCTTACCAGCTTCCGATGCTTCAGTGCCTCCAGGACAGTTCGGGCCTTCTCAAAGGGAGGGATCTTCAGCCTGGGGAAGGGGGAACCATATGAAGACAGGCAGGGATAGGGGCCAGTACAGACAGACACTTCCTGAAGACTCACAGCTCCAATGCAGCCAGAGACCTCCAGACACTTGGGGGGAGGGGAACCCAATCTAGCCCTGTTTCTCCAACATTAACTCTTCCCTCCTCCTTTGCCTACAAGGTAGGTGATCCCTGGAGCACAGACCTGGATGCCTATTCCTGTCCCACCCTTCCTCTACCACTGACCGGTGAAGAATCTCTGCCCGAAGGTAGTTGCCAATGCCATTGAAGAATTTCTGGTCCAGGAGAGCTTCACAAATGGGCTTGTCAAAGGCCTTGTCAGTCAAGTTCTGGAGCACGTTCTCCCTGGAGAACAGGGGAGATATAAGAGGACCAAGGTGATCCTCTCCATGCAAATGACCCCTTTCAACACCTGGTTTCACTTCTCCCAAGATTTGAACATGTGACCAGCCATGGGGAAATAAAGGCAGGGGAGGAGTCAGGATAGGGGTGTATTCCCTGACCAAGAGGTTGGAGTATTTTTGTCCTCAGCTTAAAAAACCCTTCATTCGTGTCCTTTCTTCTGAGGCCTCCTTGGGTTGTAGAGATGGTCCTGGGTTCTAGAAGGCTATACCAGCACCTTGAGAACCTCTAGCATGTCTTGCCAACCTGAAAGAGCTTGACGTGAGGCCCCAAAGTTTCACTCAGACAGTACATCTCTTGCTTCAGGACCAGCCCGGCTTGGGGCGAGGAGGCTCACCTCTAGAAAGGGCTGCTCCCCTGTGATGGTGCTTTTGGCCACACTCCTCATGAACCATGCTACTGTGATGTGGAGGGCCTGAGACTGAGGGAAGGAGGGCTCACTCCAAGGAAAGCAAGGCCTTGCTAAAACACTACAGTCCTTCAACACAAAGCCTGGTGTTTTGTACATAGTAAGCACTTGATCAATGCTCAGTCATTCATGCATTCCTTTCCATCTCCATTCCTGGACATTAGCCAGGCACAGGGCACTGGTTCCAGGACGGAAATCACAGGGGCCTCTACAGCACACACAAATTGGACTCTGCCCCTTATGCTGTTAGACATTCACAATCATAGCCAAAGGACATGGAAAATGAGGGACACTGGGGGTCAACAGGGAGGAGGAAGAATGGGTGGGAATGTCCTGCAGGTGCCAGAAGTCAGAGCCACTGAGGAGACCAATTATGTATACATTTAAGCTTAGACCTGGCTCTAAAACTACCTATGGCTGGAAAAAATAGTGTTGCCACAGACAAGTGACATCAGAGAAACACAGAGTTGGGGGGAAGGGCCTGAACTTATTGATGGAAGCTAGGTGGTGCAGTGGATAGAGTGCCAGGCCTGGAGTCAGGAAGACTCATCTTTGTGAGTTCAGATCTGGCCTCAGACACTTATAGGCTCTATATATGACCTTGGGCAGGTCACTTCATCCTGTCTGCCTCAGTTTCTTCATCTGTAAAAAGAGCTGGAGGAGGTAATGGCCAACCACTCCAGGATCTCTGCCAAGAAAACCTCAAATGGGGCCACGAAGACTCGATAGGACTTAACAATAACAAACAATAGTGTGGTATCTTATGATCTCACTTATTTTGAGTTTCAATTCCTTCTTTGCTATTTGGGTTCTTTACATTTATATCTTAAGGCCATTCTCCTTGGCAGAAAACAGAAGCAGAAGCAGCTGGTGCTACTTTCTTTTCTTTGCCCATGATCCTGGGAAGAGGGCTGGAAGACTGTGTGATGCTGGCATTGTGATGTGCATGCAAGCAACTGGACAGAGAAAGATGGTCGTAGGTGAGAACATTCACAAGAAAGCAACTGAGATAGTGGGGAACCTCGAGTTTATGCCATAGGAAGACAGGTTGGAGGAAATGAGGATGTTTAGCCCAGAGAGGAGAAGGCTTAGGAAAGACACGGCAGCTGTTTTCAGGTCTCAGGGAAGAGGAACTGGGCCTGCTTTGCTCAGCCTCAGAGGAACAGTGATCCGAACTTGGGAGTCTTGAGGGAACAGCCTAACCATGAGAGGTTTTCCAAAGGCAAAATGGGCTCATGAAGTGGTGGGTTCCCCTCTTCTCATAGGTTTCCTAGTGCAAGCTGGAGAACCACGTACTAGGTATCAATTAATCATTGAACAAGCATGTATAAAGCCCCTACTATGTGCTAAGCACTGTGATACAGATGAGATTCTTGCTTGGGCCACTGTGGCCCTTCTCCATTCCAAAGTTCTATGATTCTGTGTTTATGAGCACCAGGGAGCGCTTCCTCAGCTGGCCTCTTATGTGAGCCTGGACAGTTCCTACCAGGTTAAAGCCTCCAACACGGACCCAACATGGCAGACATGTCATATATCCTGGTGGCAGCACCCTGGACAGCAAAGACCCTGGGGAATGGGGTGGTGGGATCAGAGAGAACAGGGACAGAGGAAAGGCCTGGGATTGGGGATTCCCTGGGGCTCTACTCCCCACCTTGCCCAGAGACCCTACCTGAACTTCTCATACTCCATTAGAATGCAGGGGCCTCGCCCAGGCTGCCAGGTGCCCTGGACCTCCCAGTGGCCAAAGCGCCGGATGTCCACAAAGCAGAGGGCTCGGCTGGGCAGAGGAGAGATTGTGTAGAAGCGCAGGTGGGCATGCTTGGGCGGGGCATCCGCAGGGACCAGCTGAAAGGAGCCCGACATGCCAAAGCGGAACACGAGGTCCAGGGGTGCCTGTGGGGGGTGGGCCCCCGGCAGTGGGCTCAGCGTCAGCCGGACCTCCTTGCCTCGAGAGGTGGCCGTGATTCGGTAGGCGCTGCTCTCAAAGGGTACCTCGGGGTTTCTGCTCACCACAGACTTCTCCACTCGCCCCGCAAACACCAGATCCTTGCACATGGTGTTCACATAGCAGCTGGCCAAGTGGAGCTCTGGGCCCTCAGGCATCCTGAAAGCAGAGAAAAGAGCTTCGCAGAGTTGTCTTCCCCTATTTCCAAAATTCCCCTTACTTTGGTGAGCATGCGGACGATAAGGTTCTAGGTAATGATTCCCCTACCACCTCAACATAGTCTGGGGGCATAGACCTGGCTCTGCCACTGACTCCTGTGTGCCCTTTGACAGGTCACAGCCCGCTCTGGCCTCAGTTTACTTATCTGTAAAATTATGAGGACATGACCATAAGATCTCTAAGGATCCTTCCACTCTGACATTCATTCATTCATATTGTGTATTTAGTTTTCTAAAGCTATCTTATATTCATGAGAATTCTAGTCAGGGCTGGAAGAGGCTTCTGTTACTATTTTCATTATATTAGTACACAGTAGGCAGGTTTGGTAAATATTTCAGAATTCAAACATATACTCAAAACAACTTCGGAACTTTGTGGCTAGATGGGGGTGGGGGAGGATAAATGTCAAGGAGTCAAGAACTGGGTATTTTAAATTGTCAGTAAAAGGAGGAAGTTGGACCAGACAGTGAGCTAGTCAACAGGCATTTATTAAACTGTATACAAAGAAACGCAAAAACTCAGTCCCGTCACTGCCCTGGAGGAGCATAGAAGTTCCCTCCCCAGCCAGCAAACATTCATTAAGCACCTACTATACATTAAGCACCTACTATACACAGACACCATTGTAGACAAGGTCCTTTAGTCCAAGGACAAGGTCCACTCAAATGACAAACGTGGTGAGACGTTAAGTGGGCTGTATTTGGCGTCCTACGCCTGGGCTCGGCCACTTCCTAAGCGTGAGCTCCCGGACAATTCCCATCAGCTCAGTTTCCTCCCTAGCTCAATAAGGGGGCAGGTCTGGACTCTCAGTAAGGTTCCTTCCCAATTCTAGCTCTCCTATCCCTGCCCTGAAGGGAGCTTAAGTTCGGGGTGGGGGTGATTTGGGCAAAGGAGAGATCCAGGCCTCCAGGTGCTCTAAGACTCGAGCAGAAACCTTTCAGGGTCTCCGAGGCTTTCAGGGAGCTCATTACGAAGAAGCCTAGGGGTACGAATGCTGCATATCCAACCTACCTTCTCTGGACCTCAGTTTACCTATCTGTATCCTAAAGGGCCAGCCTCCCACCCCTGAAGTCAGCCGGAGTCCCGGGTGGGAGAAGTAGTGTCTGCCAGGGGCAGGGAGCTGGGGACCCTTCCCCACCCTCTCCCTCCAGTTCCCCCGGGAGGTAAGCGCCTGCCCACCCCTCCCTCTCCATGCTGAGCCTGGGGCGGGGGGCCGCCCAGCCCCCCGCAAAGGGACTCCAGGAGGAGAGGAGCCTCCTCCTCCCACCAAATCACGTACCTGCTCTCAGCTGTGCTCCGTTCACACTCCAAAGGGTTAAAGCGAAGGCTGGTGCTTGGCCCAAAGGCACGCTGGGAGATGTAATCGCTATGCCCCACAGCCTCATGGGAATTGTAGTTTTATTGCGGTCATAGTCAGCTCTGGGGCTAGGGCTTAGAAGGAGCAAAGGAGGGAGGGAGAGGGAAAGCAAAGTAGAGGGTGGTAGGGTGTGGGAAGATGGAGAAGAGAGACTAAGAGAGAGATGGGAGAAAGAGATCAAAACACTGAGAGTGGGAAAACGAATGGCTGAGTCTGGATCGAAAATTAAGGCTAGGGTGGTACCCATGACAGAATGATGATGGAACATAGTGCTGGTGGTTGAGGGAAGGGAAGCTTCGAGGACTTGGGGAGACAGAGAAGGGAGTAAAGTCCTCGGTGTTTGAACAGATCTACCCAGTGAGTGCATCCTGGGACACAGAAAGGAGCTGTGACTTTCCTGGGGGGTGGGGGTACGGTTTTGAGTTACAGAATGAGGATTGGGACTGAGGTCTCCTAGTCCCAGCCAGGAATAAGGGGGCAAACAGGTGAATGTAGTCAGAGCCCCCAGTGATTCAGGGTCCCATGAGGGGTAGCTGGGGGAGGCAAGCACAGCTGGTGATACAGGAGCTCAGGTCTGCTGGTGCATGTACACTGCGTAGAAATGTTAAATGGATGTATGTGCTTTTGAATACTTTCTTGCATATATCCTAGTAGGGTCTTGCTTAGGTGTTCAATAAATAATTGGGGTCTTTTGGGGGGAAATTTGTGAATGTGTGCAACACATACATGTAATGCAAGACCTCTCTTATACTCTTTCTGGGGCCCCTAGCCCCTTGCATGTTTCATTGTGAAGTGTTTAGGTAAGACAGCAGTGAGAAGCAGCCTACTTGGATAGAGTCTGATAGGCCTGGGTGCAAATCCTACCTCTGACTCATACTGGGGTGACCCTGCCCAAGTCACTCTCAATGCTTCAAGCATTCAAGGCTCTAAGTTGTAGAGCAGAAGCAGACAGAGCTGCATTGGTAAAGAGAATTCCCTCACTCGATGTTCAATATATCAATAAAATAGCAGATCTAGTCCAAAACTTTTTTTTTAATCGATAACTTTTTTTTTGATGAGGCAATTGGGGTTAAGTGACTTGCCTGGGGTCACACAGCTAGTTTAAGTGTTACGTATCTGACGCTGGATTCGAACTCTGGTCCTCCTGACTCCAGGGACGGTGCTCTATCCACTGCACCACCTAGCTGCTCCTGATAACTTGTTTTTACATCTACTTTTCCCAATGTATCCCCCCTTCCTTTGCCCTCTCAGAAAACCATTCCTTATTTCAAAGAATTTTAAAAGCAGTGGATGTGTGGAGATAGTCCAGTGAAACCAATCAACACATTGAAAAAGTCTAACATTAGGTATATAACCCTCCAGAACCATTATTCCTCCCAAACATACATGGCCCACACATCCATTGGCCAAAGCCAGCATTGGCATGGAAACCTGAAGCCCTTTCTTATGGAGTTTGACTTTCCGGGTACCTGGCTCCTGAACAGAGGCTGGAGGTCCAGTATCTCTCGGTCAGCAGACCACAGTCTTCCAACGTCAGATGACCCATACTCTGGCTCTTTGCCTGCCCTGGACAACTCAGACACCAGGCTCAACTGCCTTCTCCAAAAGACTGCTTCCTGGTCATTTCCAAATCTGTACCTCATGACACCTGCACCCAGGCCCAAATTTCACGGATTCTGGTATTATGGGGTTTGGCCATTAGAACATAAGCTTCTCAAGAGCAGGAGTTGATTCATTCTTTGTCCTGACACATAGTAAGCACTAAATAAATGTTGACTGGAGCTAGGTGGTGCATTAGAGAGAGTTCCGGCCTTGGAGTCAGGAGGACCTGAGTTCAAATTTGGCCTCAGACACTGGATACTTACTAGCTGTGTGACCCTGGGCAAGTCACTTAACCCTGATTGCCTTGCTAAATAAATGAATGAATGAACGAATAATCAAATAATTAAATAAACAAACAAACAAATAAATAAATAAATAAATGTTGATTGGTTACCTGGTTCCCAGGGATGCTGTAAGGAAAGTATTTCATAACTTTAACAAACTCTACAGAAAACTGTTATTCAGGGAGAAAGTGAGTCTTAGGTAAGTGATTTCCCTTCTCTGGACCTCAGTTTCCTCATCTGTCAACAGAACATAATTGTGGCCCTGCCTTCTTCTCAGTGTTACCTTGAGGTTAATATGAAAACAGGGATGAGAGATGGCTCAGGAAAGGAGAAACAACCAACTTCTGAGGATGAAAGTTGGTTTTAGAAAAGAGGGTGCCCTCACTGCCCTTCCCTCCAGTCCTTTACCTTGTCCCCCGGCTTCCTAGCCTGGGCTTTCTGCTCCGGCTAGGCTGCTAAACTCACTGCCTCCAACATGTCAAGTCTATTACCGGCCCCAAAGCCATCTCCTTCATCTAGGATGATGCACTTGCCCTTTATTTCGCCCACCCACATTCTGTCCATCTTTCAAGGCCCGAGCTCAAGCCCCACCTCTTTGGAGGAGCCTTGCCTGAGCGCTCCAACCAACAGTAAAGTCTCTGTCTCTCCCCTGACTTCCTAAGGGCGCTGAGTCTCAGTACCAGACTCAAGCCTCAATTCTCTTCTCTTCCACTCCCCAGATGGAGTCTCTCTTGTCTCCTTCAAAGGGATGGCAGCATCTCACAAAGACACACACAGCCTCAATAACAACATTTATTCCTTCCACCCTTCAGTAAAAAGGTACAAAACTGGGGGTGGACGTCAGGAAGGCACCTGGGGGGGTCCCCAACCCACCCAGGTCCTGTTGCTGAGCTCACTGGGCTGAGCTGTCTTGAAGATGGGCACCAACCATACCCAGGCCTGGTGGAGAGATGGAATGGGTGCCACAGACAGAGGGAAGGGTCATCAGCCCAGACACTGGGGTGTTGGGCTGGGCTGAGCCAGTCCCACTCCTTGGCTTCCTTTTCTTGCTGTCCGACAGCTCTCAGCTCAGGGAACCCATCACGGCTTGTGCTTGTTTGAGTTCTGAAAGACACAGAGATAGGGGGTTAGGAGAAAGGGAGCTGGGGAGAGGAGCAGGGATGCTGGGCCCCAGGGGACAGAGCAATGGGAGGACGTGGCAACGAGGAAAACTGTATGGTTGATATAAACTGTACCAATCAGAGCTACTCAAAAGGAGAAGGGGTTAGCTCAGGAGGCAATAAGTTACCCTTCGCTGAAGGTCTACAAGCCAAGGCTGCAGGGCTACTTGATGGGTATACCATAGAAGGAATTAGCATAGTACAGTGGAAAAAGCACTGTTCTAAAGCCAGAGGACCTGTGTTCAAATCTCATCTCTGATGCTTACTACCTGTGTGACTTGGAGCAAATCATTCAATCTCCCTAGGCCTCAGTTTTCTCACCTATAAAATGAGGAGGTTGGACTAGATTTTCTTTTTTTAATTTTTTTGGCTAGGCAATGGGGTTAAGTGACTTGCCCAGGGTCACACAGCTAGTAAAATGTTATGTGTCCGAGGCCGGCTTTGAACTCAGGTCCTCCTGAATCCAGGGCCGGTGCTCTATCTACTGCGCCATCTAGCTGCCCCTGGACTAGATTTTCTGAGGGCTCTTCCAGCTCTAAAACTGTGATCCTATGAATTCTTGTTGAGGTATGAATTGACCAGACCTTTCAAATTCTGTAATTTCCTGAGTGTCTCCAACCTCCTTTCTCCTTACCTGCCAACAGAACTTGGAATTTCTTCACTGACAGAGTCATGGTGATGGGCTCTGCTGGACTGCCTGGGTCACGCCGAACATCCAGCCTCAGGTGCACCTCCGGCTCATGGACATGGCACAGCTGGCTGGAGCTCACCGTGTAGTCCACACGCCAGCTCACACTGCCCAGTCTGCTCACTGTAGGGAAGGAGGCAGAGCTTCAAAGATCCCATTTGTCACCAAGAACCAGCAGGGATCCCAGTTCTGCCAATAATTTACTATGACCTGAAAAAGCCACATAATTTATCTGGTCCTCAACTATTAAATATCTGTTAAGCAGGGATAAAAATTCACTAAATAAGCAATTATTAAGCATGTACTATATGCAAAGTACTGGGCTAGGCCCTGGGAAGACAAAGACAAAAATGAAACAGTCTCTGGCCTCAGGGAGCACACACTCCATTGGTTAATGATTCCTGTCTGCTAACCTTGCAGAATAACTATGAGGATTAAATAACATTCTGGGTTTGAAAGAGCTTTGAAATATAGTGTTGGACGCATGTCAAGGTGATCATCCCCGTCCTTTGTGACCTGGTCCAAGGCCTGCCTCCTCTAGGATGACTTCTTTGACTCCTTCAGCCCCAAAAAGGTGATTACTGCCCTTAGAATCCACACCACTTATGTGACCCCCAGCACATGTCATCTGGTATTTCTGTGTTTTCATGTGTGACTCTTGGCTCCCTAACTAGACTTGGGATAGGGTCAGGACCTGTGGTCTGCCCAACATCACAGCTGTGCATGAGGCTGAGTACTGGCTCATTAATTATTACCTGGCCCACAGCCTCTCCCAGGCCCTGCTCCCCCTGCTACGGCCTGGACTAGCCTCTCTTCCTCCCTCTTTAGTCACAGAATCATAGCTCCAGAGCTGGAAGGGACCTTAGAAGTCACTAAACCCAACATACTCAAGTCCAGCATTCAGGACCCTAAGCCCCTGGTTCCTCAGAGTTGAGCCCAAGGCCATGGGCCAGCTCCCAAGTCAACTTACACCTTAGGCTGCTACCCCTCAAGCTCTCCTGGAGGGGCCCCTGCTTCTCCTCATAGGAACGACACAATCCTGAGGCATGTTCTAGAGGGGAGAAAAGACGGTGGGGGGAGGGGGTTAGTGACCCAGGAAGGGCAGGGCCAGGAGAGTCTGAAGTGAGACGTGTGAGACACCCAGAGGGAAAGCTGTGGACGGCCCCCATCTGCCACCTCCACCCCCATCTTACGGCTCAGAGAGGGAAGGCTCCAGGCTCATGGAGCCAGGGGTGAAGGCCCGAGAGGGGGCC